CACAAAATACACCGAAAAGTGTAGAAAAAAATTGACACCCAGATCCGAGTAGAGGAAGACCTTTTTTATGACCAAAAACGCATCCAAAAGCATAAAAATCTAACCAAAAAAATTCAATTTTTCTTAGGCAGACGATTTTATTTCATATTCTTGCACAAAATACACCGAAAAGTGTAGAAAAAAATTGACACCCAGATCCGAGTAGAGGAAGACCTTTTTTATGACCAAAAACGCATCCAAAAGCATAAAAATCTAACCAAAAATATTCAATTTTTCTTAGGCAGACGATTTTATTTCATATTCTTGCACAAAATACACCAAAAAGTGTAGAAAAAAATTGACACCCAGATCCGAGTAGAGGAAGACCTTTTTTATGACCAAAAACGCATCCAAAAGCATAAAAATCTAACGAAAAAAATTCAATTTTTCTTAGGCAGACGATTTTATTTCATATTCTTGCACAAAATACACCGAAAAGTGTAGAAAAAAATTGACACCCAGATCCGAGTAGAGGAAGACCTTTTTTATGACCAAAAACGCATCCAAAAGCATAAAAATCTAACCAAAAATATTCAATTTTTCTTAGGCAGACGATTTTATTTCATATTCTTGCACAAAATACACCAAAAAGTGTAGAAAAAAATTGACACCCAGATCCGAGTAGAGGAAGACCTTTTTTATGACCAAAAACGCATCCAAAAGCATAAAAATCTAACGAAAAAAATTCAATTTTTCTTAGGCAGACGATTTTATTTCATATTCTTGCACAAAATACACCGAAAAGTGTAGAAAAAAATTGACACCCAGATCCGAGTAGAGGAAGACCTTTTTTATGACCAAAAACGCATCCAAAAGCATAAAAATCTAACCAAAAATATTCAATTTTTCTTAGGCAGACGATTTTATTTCATATTCTTGCACAAAATACACCAAAAAGTGTAGAAAAAAATTGACACCCAGATCCGAGTAGAGGAAGACTTTTTTTATGACCAAAAACGCATCCAAAAGCATAAAAATCTAAAGAAAAAAATTCAATTTTTCTTAGGCAGACGATTTTATTTCATATTCTTGCACAAAATACACCGAAAAGTGTAGAAAAAAATTGACACCCAGATCCGAGTAGAGGAAGACCCTTTTTATGACCAAAAACGCATCCAAAAGCATAAAAATCTAACCAAAAATATTCAATTTTTCTTAGGCAGACGATTTTATTTCATATTCTTGCACAAAATACACCAAAAAGTGTAGAAAAAAATTGACACCCAGATCCGAGTAGAGGAAGACCATTTTTATGACCAAAAACTCATCCAAAAGCATAAAAATCTAACTAAATTTTATCTAAATCCATTAAAACCTGTTAAAGTTATCGTCTAAACAAAAAAGGGATTCACACACACACACACACACACACACACACATACATCCAGACAATTGATCAGGATCTCATATAACATGTTTCCATAAAGAAAAAAATTTGTTTCCGACACTTTAAAAAGTTTTATAAACGAAAGGACTACAAAGCTTCCTCCACGAGGAAGCAAAATTTAAATTATATTAGTATTTCTCTTCTAAATTGAGAACGGAAGCACATTTAAAATGTTAAAATTTTTTACGAAATTATTGCAAATAAGATAATGTTAATTAACTCAACTGAATGTTCACAATTGACCAATATTTAAATATTTTATTTATTAATTAATACTTATTTACCAACAATAAACAAGAAAGTAAATAACAAAAAGAGGTTATGTTGCCATTGATGCAGCTACAATGTTGAAAACCTGGTTGTCTACAGTATTATACGTCATTTATGTATTATACGTAGAAAACCTCTAGAAAAGCACTTTTACCCATCTCTGCTCTTGACAGATGCAGCATCAGCACCATGTCCTTTTCTAACACACGTGTTGTCATGGCAACACGTGCGTTAGAAAAGGACAAAAAAGTGTCCATAAAGAAAACCGAAGGTTTACGACGACCGTGGTGACTGCCATGCTCATAAAATTTCAAAATATTCAATAAAAACGAATAGAATGCTTGAAATTATTAAAAAAAAAAAGTATTTTAAAATAATTATTTTTTGTTAGAAATAATACAAATCAATCAAAATGCGACAAAACATTTAGTTGTATTAATATCAAAATGTGATGTTAATTTGAGGTTATTATTATAGATGTAATACATTCATAGATAATTAATTAATAATAATTTATTGAAAATAATGATAATAATAATAAATAATATAATAATTAATTAATAAATATTATATTCAAGATAATAATAATAGATTATAAATATTTTATTTAAAAAATTATGACAATAATGATATAAATATAAAATTATTATTATTATAGGGGAATAGTGTCAGGGTTGGACACTTGTCAGGGTTGGACACTTGGCTTTTTTTAAATAATAACACTAGCGCCACCTGTGTGCGTACGTGACGAATCTTCTAGTAGTATAACCTAACTTTTTGTGGCATTACATTTTTGGAGAATCAAAAGTAGCGTCTCCTGTGACTTCGGTGCAATCGAAGAGACAAAAAAAGTTTTGTTTGACTTGTGAATAAACCTAAAAAATGTGTAAAAAAAAGCAAGAATTCGGCAAGATAAGCTTATTGAATGTATTGTGGGGTACATAATTTAAGAAGAAAAAAAGTGAAAAATCGAATCGCGACACATGTCTAGTTATGGTTAGCACAATTCGAAAATGATGCTTCTAGTTAGGGTTGGACACCCATATTACATAATTATGAATTTGACACAATTTATAAATAAATTTTATTTTATTGATATTTCAGTGCAAAATTGTGCCAAAGATATTAGAAAAATAATACTTAAATTGTATAAATTTTGTTCATCATTTCATTGAGTTATTTGGAACAATAAAGCGTTATTTTTTATAATTTGAGTTCATTCCTTTTTTAAACCCATGAAGCTTTACAATTTGTAAACAATAAGTAAAGATAAACATGAAAAAATAAGAATAAAAAACATTACAAATGTTATTTTAAGTTTTTACCAATAATGCGTTTCGATTTTCAAAAAGTGTCCAACCCTGACTGAAAAGTCCAACTCTGACTAGATTTTTTTTTTTTTTTAAATGTTTATAACTTTTTTAATTTTGGACCAATCAATTTACGGTCCACAGCAAAAGTGTTCCTCTTTTGTAGATCTTTCCACCTATATACCACAATTGACTGAATTTATCTAAACAAAATATTTATAAACAAAAAACCAAAACTGTGTCCAACCCTGACACTATTCCCCTACACTTAAGTATATTAAGGAAATTAGTATTTTTTTATTAGGAAGCAATATAATTAACAAAAAAAAATAAATTCATTAGTGAAAATATTTTTATATTGCTTTATTAAAGTTTTCTTATTATTAAGCATTTTATATAAGCGCGCTTTTTTCGACCTGTAAGAGAGTTGTCGAAGTGCAAGCGCAGTAGCGTTTAGCAAGTGTCATTGGCAACTCTGCATCCCTACCAAGTCGCAACCTCGAAAAGTATATAAACCCCCGAAGCTAAACAGCGTGGCTCATTGCAACCAATGTCACTGATAGACGCGAGGTAATATTATTCTTTTTAATTAAATCTTTTTTTTAACGTCTTACATTTCTTTTGATAAATAACTTTTTAATAAAAATTTCACTTTCTTTCATCAACGTCATTTATTAATTTCTGCTATAAATTTCCAACTTATCAAATGAAAGTAACAATAAATATTTTTAAATTTTCTAATGGAAGTAATAAATACATTTGAAGTGAACACAGTCGTTTTTTTGTTAAATCAAAACATTACAATTTTTTGGTGAAAGTATTTTTGTCTTTTCTTTCAAAAAAAAAAAAAAATCACAAAATTCGAATACTTAAAGGAAGAAACTTTACGAAACTTACATTCTAAATCCAATAAGAACAATATTATAACAATTAAAAAATGGATCGAAATAATTATTGACTTAATATTATTGAATTTATACGATCTTTTTTTTAAAAAATTTGTTATATCATTCCTCTTATAGGTTACACTTAAAATTGCTTTTGGCCCTTCTTTGTAACTTTTTTCTTATTCTTATTATTCTGTACAGAAAAATATTTATCAATCTTTAGGGTGAAATTAAAATTAAAAATAGGGTTAATTTAACTTTACGTTAAAAGAATTTAAAATTGAAGAATAATTAATATAATTAAATAAATTACTTACGACTATTCATTAAAGAAATTTAAGTAACTATCAAGTAAAATTGAAATCAATATTTTAATGTAGAAAATTATTTAAATTAATGAATATAATATATTAATTAAAGTTTAATTTTATTTAATAAACAAATTTTATTAATATTAGAGAAAGTTTTTTTAAATATTTTATATAGTAGAGAACATGATATTTTAAAAGTTCTGAACTATTATATATATATTTTTTATGTAATTAAATTTTAATGGACGCATTTATCAATAGAAATATTTTTTATAAGGAAATAGAAATACTGAATTTCATTCACATTTGGCAAAAATTCAATAATCCCGAGAGATTAAAAATCGGAGAAACTATCTAAAATTGTTTAATTATCTATTCTTAGGCTAAAAATATTATAGTAGTAAATTGTTCCAAAATTATTGATTTTTAATTTAAAATTAAAATAATAATATTAAAACAAATTTCACTTTCTTGATTAATGTTAGTTTAGTTTTAAATTGAAAAATCTAAAAATTGTTGAAAAAAAATATTATTTCTGCAGTGCAGTCAATAGGAATAAAAAGTGTCTACTATTTATTTTCATTATATCGTAAATTAAATGCATTATTAATTAATTTTATATTTTTTCATTCAGTAAAAAAGAAGCCCTCTATTAATTATTGCATTCTTGTCATTTTCGAGGGTATTTATATATCTAAATTTTTTTTTTTAAATTCGTAGCCAACCATATAGATTGATATGCAGTCTTCCAAAGATCAGCGATTTTTTTTCTTTCCAAAGAAAACTCTGAAATTCATTTAAATTAATAAAAAAAAAAAAAAATCGCTTAAATTTTTTTTCATTTCTTTCTTCAATTTCAATATATTATTATTGTTTATTCTAAATCGAACTATCGCCAAGGCTCAGTTTCGTCAAACATCCTGTCAATATTGTCTCGAAGCATTTTTTCTTGGTCTGGAAAATGTTATAACTTATATCAGGTAATTATAATATTATAATTCATGTAATAAATTTAATAGACTAATTATTATAATTTTAAAAGTATAATTAGAGTACGAAAAATAGTATTTAAAATTAATCTTCATTTATAAAAATAGTCAATTAGTAAAGATTTTTAAACTTCGAGGTATAAGTGATAAAAGAAAAAATAATTGTCCTCTTTTTTTGAAATAAATAAATAAGTTTAACTGGTAAAATTAATTTTAAATTATTTTAAAATTTCTTTTTTTTGTTTAATAATCAGTTAATTTATTACCAGATGTAAGATTTGCAATGACACATTGTTTTCGAAGGAATTCCAAGCAAAGATTTCTCGAAAGACCGAATGCATGCATATTGCATGTAAAAGTTCTGTAAATGAATAATCGTTTTATGTATATTATTAACAATCGCAGCTAAAGAAAAATAAGGATTTTTATTGTAGGTACGCGATTTCAAGTAGTGGGGAAAGAGAGCGTAGCCAATCGCTGCGAGCGTCGCACACAAAGAGTGGGGATAGCGCACAGTGATTGGTCTCCCTTCTACTTACACAGAAAAAAAGGTGGGTAAAAAGTTGTAAAGATAGAGGATAAAAGTCCTTAGGATACAGGGTAAAGGATAAATTTGTGATGGATAAAAATGTTACTAAAATATTACTAGAAAAATGGATGTCATATTTGAGTAAACTGTCTAATTTTAATAAAAATATTAGTAATTTTACACTTAACTTATTAAATCTACAAATTTTATATAAATAAGTAATTGCACGTGGAAATATTTTGCCTATAATTATTGTCTATTAATAAAAATATCCTTGACTAATACAACTGACAGCTGACGACAGTGCGTAAATAATCAGAACTGGGAAATTACAACTCAACGTCTGTATTGTTGCACGAAAGCAGAGTTGGGTAGTAACTGAATTTTTTGTGCATATTAGGCTGTGTCAGTTCATCGAGATATTTCGAGTTCAAGATATGACGTCAGAGGCCTGGAGAGACAACAAACAGACGACACAATGTTATTGTTACGGGGAAGAAAATTTGTTTCCACTTTCATCAATTGTATTCATACTTTGAACATGGAAAACGCTTGTTGACATATAATAAAATTAAAATGTGTGTTGATAATTAATTTTGTTATATATTTGATTCATTTGCATTGATAGATTCTCTGAATTCGTGATAAAATATAAATTTTGAGGTTAGGGGTGTTTGTTTACTAACTTGAAATCTTTTACTGCTGCGGTAATTCCCACTTAAAATATATATTTTATATCTTTTTTAATAACATGCATACTGGATATTGTTTAAAAATGTTAAAATGTAAAATGTGATTAGTAAACAAACTTTTTCTAACCTCAAAATTTATACTGTACCACGAATTCAGAGAATCTATCAATGCAAATGAATCAAATATATAACAAAATTAATTACCAACACACATTTTAATTTTATTAGATGTCAACAAGCGTTTTCCATATTCAAAGTATGAATAAAATTGATGAAAGTAGAAACAAATTTTCTTCCCCGTAAGAATAACATTGTGTCGTCTGTTTGTTGTCTCTCCAGGCCTCTGACGTCATATCTTGAACTCGAAATATCTCGATGAACTGACACAGCCTAATATGCTCAAAAAATTCAGTTACTACCCAACTCTGCTTTCGTGCAACAATACAGACGTTGAGTTGTAATTTCCCAGTTCTGATTATTTACGCACTGTCGTCAGCTGTCAGTTATATTAGTCAAAGATATTTTTATTAATAGACAATAATTATAGGCAAAATATTTCCACGTGCAATTACTTATTTATATAAAATTTGTGGATTTAATAAGTTAAGTGTAAAATTACTAATATTTTTATTAAAATTAGACAGTTTACTCAAATATGACAACCATTTTTCTGGTAATATTTTAGTAACATTTTTATCCATCACGAATTTATCCTTTACTCTGTATCCTAACGACTTTTATCCTCTATCTTTACAACTTTTTACCCACCTTTTTTTCTGTGTAACTGATAGAATAGTGAGATTAAAAAAAAAATAATCATACCCTAATTGACCAAAAACTATATTTGCTTGAAATTTTCTATCCTCAGCAGCAACAGCTTCTTGATCTAAAAATTTCGGTCTTCGTGGTACGGGGCGAACTGCCCGTTCACATTGAACAGCATCAAAAAATGCCGCTGTCCAAAATCTCATTGACGTCCAAATTGGCTGAACCCTTAAATTTGTATATAAATATTCGCGATAGGGTTCCACGCCAGGCACTTGAACTGTAAAACAAAATTTTTAATATATTTTTTTGTGTTATTTATGTTATTTTCAAAAAAAAAATAATTTAATTTTACCTTCGTGATAAAAAGTGAAGCACATATTCATAAGACTTTTAGCTGGTGCAAAATCGTCGGCTTCATGACATTCAAAAAGTGCAACAGCAAAATGTTGTGCAAGCGAATAAAATGATTCCTCAGAAACACAAGGACGAGCTCTTCTTGCATTCACAACTCTTGAAAACCAAATTCTTCCATTCTCGGTCTAATAAATTTTTAAATGAAAATTTATTCTTGAATTCAAAAAAAAAAAAATAATAATAATAATTCATCCTTTTAATTTATATGGGGCATTCCACCGGAAATTTTCTTTCAAAATTTTTTTTTGCCCAAAACATATATCTTTGCGTCTAGCTTAAAAATTGTAAATAGTAATTTAAAAACTAAAAACACCACTTTTGCAGATAGGGAAAAAAATTCGTCAGTCATCAGAGATTGAAGAGCAAAAAAAAAAAAAATTAAAAATCAAAAGTGTCCATCTTTGAGAAAATTCACTTTTTAAATTTTATTTAAACTTTTTTGATGCTTCCATTATAGGTACATTGTTTTTGAGTAAATTTCGAGAAAAAAATGTTTTGGGGCAAAAAAAAATTGTTGAATGAAAATTTCCCGTGCGGAATGCCCCATATAAATATTTAATTGAAATCGAAAACTTACTTGAACCATTTGTCCAAAAGTGGCCTTTTGCTCTTGATCAATAGATCCAGGCGAATCAAATAAAAGTGTGACGAAAAATTTCATAAATTCCGCTGCTGCCTCTTCTGATTGACTATCGGCTGATAAGCTTGATGCCCAAGATTGAAGTGATCCAGAAGAACCTATAGTACATTCAAAAATCAATATTTCTGCAATTGTTTTTTTAATAATCTTCTGAATATATTTTTTAATTAAAACTGAAATGAAAGCCAATTAATTTAATAATTATTATTAATAAATTAAATAAATTGTCAACTAAATTATTAACAAGTTCATAGCAGAATTTTTCTATTAACGAAAGCACATTTTTGACAATATAAATGTCCTATTTGTAAACTATTATCTAACCTGATCTCTGCCATAATTTTCGACCATCCATATTCGAATCTAAACTAGTGCTTGGACCATAACCATCTTGATCACTTGCAGAACCACTACTGCAAGGCATGTCTGAAAATTTTTCAGTTGCAGACTTTTTTTTTTGTATATAATACAAAATAATAATTAATAGCCTAATATATAGTACCTACGATATCATTTCTTTCTTTTCCTTAATTTTTCCTACACGAATAATCAGTATTATAAAGGGATTGAAAGACTACAAGGAATTATGTTTTGAAATAAAATGCATTATATTTAATTTATGAGTAAATAAATTTACCAAAATTTAAAAAAGATTTCTAACTTTGTCGGTAAATTAATTTTATTTAAAATTTTTCTTTTAATTACCCAAAAAAAGTACCAATAATATTGTTAAATTGTATGAAAAATTTGTAGTAAAATAGAAAATAACGTTTCGTTTGTTTAATTAAAATTCTAACACTACTTGGGATTTACAATTTTTTTTAAGGTACTATTACTACAATAAAAAATTTAAAAAAAAAGGTACGCTTTGTCCAGGAAAAGTTTTTAATTTCAATATTTTTTTTAGAGGAAAATTTACATCTACATTCAAACTAAAAATATATAGCGATGCTACAACATCTTGAGTTAATTTGTTAGTGTAATTTTTATCATTATTTTCCTAGTAATGAAAAATTTCAAAATTTACTTTTCAGTTTCATTTTATTAATATCATAAAAAATAATGTTTTAATAATGAAATATATATATATACAACAGCAAAAGTAAATACTATTAAAAATAAAATCATCTATTTATATTATTAAAACAAAATTTTTAAATTATTTATTTAAATAAAAAATTATTTGAAAACAAAAATGCAAACTCTTGTTGTCTGTAAAGTGTTTTTGTAGCCAAATGCTTTTAAAAAAGCAAAATAAAATTCTTTAAATAATAACTAAAGACCTTAACAAGATGCTAATAACAAATTGCTAACACATTTTGTTTTTATTTTCATGCTAATTTTATATAAAATAAACGTTAAATTAAGAAAGAAAGAAAAAAATTAATCTCAAAGGAGAAATTCTATTGCTAATGGACACACACATTGATGCTGATGTTTATCAATCAAACAGAGAGAAAAACAAAGAGCCACAAGGGAAAGCTTTGTAAATACATATAAATCTTCATTTTGTGGAGCACACGAACACATTAAAGAGATGTCGAGTTACCTAAACGAAAAACGACCGTCTGATAGCGAGTGGGAGCCCTTGCTTTGTGAACACAAAAATAAAGTTGTTATTCTCAATTAAATAAAATGCCACTTGTTTTTAGAAGTAAGATACTTTAAATAAATTAATAAAAAAAATTAAATATATTTATAGAATTAATTAATATTCAGTAATAGTACAAAATATTGCGAGTTATCATCAATCGGTAACCTAGGAAATTAAAAAAACGTTACATGTTATCTACTGTTGGTAATATAGGACTCTACTTTACCCTCAGTCAACAATAAGACAGATTTCTACATTGCCAACAGTCGGTAACTTGTGAGAATTTCAATTGTCCACGTTACCGATTGGTGATAAGATAGATATCTATATTACCAGCAATTGTAATCTCAAATTCTTAGTTTCTTCTTTGTCAACTCATAAATACTTTAAATTTCTGTTGTACTCGTAATTTATAAATCTAAAATTTGAAAAAAAAAGAATTTTTTGAATATATTGATGAGTTTTTTAATGTAACAGTTTTCAACATAATGGTAATAAATTTATAATTGCTGTTTTAATTTAAAACTAACATATAAATTAAACTTGTATTTAACAAACAAAACTAAATATTTATTTCTCTAAAGAAAATTTAATCACTACATTTACTTGAATCAATAAAATAGAGTTATTTTATCAATTAATTTTTTAATTATGTCAAATAATTTAGTGAAATAAATAAATTGTTTGAAATAACTCATTTTTATGTTCGTTAAAATCAATTATTTTCAATCCATTATTAATTAATTTAAATCAATAAAATGAACTAAATAAATTAATTTTTTGAAAAAACTTAATATTTTGTAAAGAAGTTACCTCTATTTCTTGTATAATTTTCAAAGTTAGTCTTCTTAGACCAGTTGGAAATAAATTAATGTGATTTTCATTGTATTTCAAGTTAATATACTCTGATATGGTTTTCAATAAAATATATTACTTACATCTTAAATAGATAATCAATAAGTTCTATTTTAACTTTATACTGTATCTTATCTTTCCCCTCTTCTTAATCTAATTTCACTAAAATTAGAGTTTACTGCGGTCTAGAAAATTTAATTACTTTACAATTAATAGGTTCAGTTATTTTATCAAGGATAATCACATAATTTTATTAACATTAAAAAAAATTAATAATATCCTAAATTAATTGCTGTAAAATAATTGGTAAATAATTATAAATTATTTTTTTCAATAAAACACAACCTATACTAAAAAATAATTCAATAACTGATGTGTCACTTTCCTAATATATGAATTCTAATAATATATACAGTCAATACTCTCGCAATGTATATTGTACTATTAATTGTGGTAAGGAATTAAAACTGTAATTTCTGTTAAATTGAAACAAAATTTTTTGAAAATTGTAATAAAATAATAAAACTTTCCATAATATTTCCATTTCAATTTAGTTTTATATTTCTTAAAGTACCTTTCCTCCAAAAAGAAAAGTCTGTTTATCATATATATATATATATTTATGTGACATGAATTTGTGAAATATGATTGCCATGCATATTTTTTATTCAGACACACATTTCATATCAAACATTCAGAACATTCAGTTTCTGACTTTTAAAAAAGACATTTTAAAGTTTTCGATTATTTATCTATAAAGAAAAAAAAATGTTTTTCTATACTTTACGCCAAATTAAACAAAAAATTCAAGACAAAACAATTTTCAATTTGTAGTAAAGTAGTATAAAAACTTTTTTCTAACACACGCACCGAAAGTACACCATTTCTTACCTGTAAAGGGGGAGAAAATATGTCTTTCCCGGCGAGCGGGAGGGAAAGTAACTTTCCCTCCCCGTAACGCCAATTTTTATTTCTGTTGTTAACAAGAACAGTATATTATTGAATTTACTGTCAAACTATCGATTCGAAATATCGAGTTTAAGTTTAATGTTGATATTTCGATATATCGAATCAAATTTAAAATCGATAATCACGTAAACAATAGTGTACACTATCTCCGCTTGGCGTCTCTGTACGTTTGTTGTCATTCTGTCAATTCTGTTGATCAGTAATAACATAATTTAATCTCAATGTAGTCGACTTACTAAAAAAATTATATTTTTCGCTAAAATTTAATAATAAAATACCGTTTTTAGAAAAATTAACATTCTTTATTTTTAATCTATGTACTTTCGGTATGTGTGTTAGAAAAAATACTATGTGCAACTCGGGAGGAAATCAACCATTTTCCTCCCTAGATGCACAATATACTATTTTTTCACATTATTATAAGAGAAAAATATTTCTTTTTTGCATTATTTATTAAGAAAATTTTTATAATTTTTTTTATATCTGCATTAATGTATGTTCTAAAAAACAATTTTAAAACATAAAACGTCTTTAGTAATTTAATGCATTTGTAATTTAATATACTTACCGGTTTTGTAATTTAATTTTTCATAAGGATCTGGACCTGTTGCCTTTATATCCTTCTCTTGAATAGGTTCTATACTTTCGGGACTATCTCGATCAGAGCTTCGTGTTTGGTCGTCTTTTTTTCCTAATTCTTCTTTCTTCACTGAAGCCGATCTCGAGGATGCTATTTCCTCGTAAGTCATACCCGGAGGATACTTTCTAAGTGTTCTGGTTGTATTTGCACTACCCTGACGTTCGACTTTATGCCGTGACATTGCTTCGTAATCTTCATAAGATATTCCAGCTCCAAATCTATAAGAAAGTAAATGATTAATTCAATATAATTAAAACTATCATCCATCAAAATTTTAGACAAATACCAGGTACACACCCATATAAATTATCACAGAAAAATGATCTACCCATCCCCCTCCAGTCATGACCACACATAATTTATGGATGACCCCTAACCCGAGAGTCTCAAACAAAAAATGTCTTTAGAAAAAAGTCACGAAAAAACATTTATAGCGCACTTTTTGATTGGTAGAGCGGATGCTGAGCTACACTAAAAAACATTTTGGAAAAATTGTTGAAAAATTAAATTTTCCAGATAATCGTTCGGGAATACCGCCAAAGTCTTTAGCAAAAAGTAGCGAACAAAAAATGTATAGCGCACTTTTAAATTGGTCCAGCGGATGCTGAGCTACACTAGAAAACAAATTTGGAAAAATTAAATTTGCGAGATAATCGTTCCGGAATACCGCCAATAAAATAGGGAAAAAGTTCCGAACAAAAAATATATGCCGCACTTTTTGATTGGTCCAGCGGATGCTGAGCTACACTAGAAAACAAATTCGGAAAAATTATCGAAAAATTAAATTTGCAAGATAATCGTTCCGGAATACCGCCAATAAAATAGGGAAAAAGTTTCGAACAAAAAATGTATGGCGCACTTTTAGATTGGTCCAGCGGATGCTGAGCTACAATCAAAATAAGTTTGGAAAAATTTTCGAAAAATTAAAGTTTTGAGATAATCATTCGGGAATACCGCCATAGTGATTAGAAGAAAGTTCTGAACAAAAAATGTATGGCGCACTTTTAGATTGGTCCAGCGGATGCTGAGCTACACTAGAAAACAAATTTGGAAAAAATTTAGAAAAATTAAATTTGCGAGATAATCGTTCCGGAATACCGCCAATAAAATAGGGAAAAAGTTTCGAACAAAAAATGTATGGCGCACTTTTAGATTGGTCCAGCGGATGCTGAGCTACACTAGAAAACAAATTTGGAAAAAATTTAGAAAAATTAAATTTGCGAGATAATCGTTCCGGAATACCGCCAATAAAATAGGGAAAAAGTTCCGAACAAAAAATATATGCCGCACTTTTTGATTGGTCCAGCGGATGCTGAGCTACACTAGAAAACAAATTCGGAAAAATTATCGAAAAATTAAATTTGCAAGATAATCGTTCCGGAATACCGCCAATAAAATAGGGAAAAAGTTTCGAACAAAAAATGTATGGCGCACTTTTAGATTGGTCCAGCGGATGCTGAGCTACAATCAAAATAAGTTTGGAAAAATTTTCGAAAAATTAAAGTTTTGAGATAATCATTCGGGAATACCGCCATAGTGATTAGAAGAAAGTTCTGAACAAAAAATGTATGGCGCACTTTTAGATTGGTCCAGCGGATGCTGAGCTACAATCAAAATAATTTTGGAAAAATTTTCGAAAAATTAAATTTTCGAGATAATTGTTCAGGAATACCTCCATAGTGATTAGAAGAGAGTTCTGAACAAAAAATGTATGGCGCAGTTTTTGATTGGTCCAGCGGATGCTGAGCTACACTCACTAAAACTGGGAAAAAATTTTCGAAAAAATTAAATTTGCGAGATGATGACTCGGGAATAATGCCAAAAAATTGAGCAAAAAGTCTGGAACAAAAAATGTATGGCGCACTTTGTGATTGGTCCAGCGGATGCTGAGCTACACTAGAAAACAAATTTGGAAAAAATTTAGAAAAATTAAATATGCGAGATAATGACTCGGGAATAATGCCAAAAAATTGAGCAAAAAGTCTGGAACAAAAAATGTATGGCGCACTTTTTGATTGGTCCAGCGGATGCTGAGCTACACTAGAAAACAAATTTGGAAAAAATTTAGAAAAATTAAATATGCGAGATAATGACTCGGGAATAATGCCAAAAAATTGAGCAAAAAGTCTTGAACAAAAAATGTATGGCGCACTTTTAGATTGGTCCAGCAAATGCTGAGCTACACTAGAAAACAAATTTGGAAAAATTAAATTTGCGAGATAATCGTTCCGGAATACCGCCAATAAAATAGGGAAAAATTTTCGAACAAAAAATGTATGGCGCACTTTTAGATTGGTCCAGCGGATGCTGAGCTACACTCACTAAAACTGGGAAATAATTTTCGAAAAAAATTTTGCCAGATAATGACTCGTGAATAATGCCAAAAAATTGAGCAAACAGTCTCGAACAAAAAATGTATGGCGCACGTTTAGATTGGTCCAGCGGATGCTGCGCTACAATCAAAATAATTTTGGAAAAATTGTTGAAAAATTAAATTTTCCAGATAATCGTTCAGGAATACCGCCAAAGTCTTTAGCAAAAAGTAGCGAACAAAAAATGTATAGCGCACTTTTAGATTGGTCCAGCGGATGCTGAGCTACACTAGAAAACAAATTTGGAAAAAATTTAGAAAAATTAAATTTGCGAGATAATCGTTCCGGAATACCGGCAATAAAATGGGGAAAAAGTTTCGAACAAAAAATGTATGGCGCACTTTTAGATTGGTCCAGCGGATGCTGAGCTACAATCAAACTAATTTTGGAAAAATTTTCGAAAAATTAAATTTTTGAGATAATCGTTCGGGAATACCGCCATAGTGATTAGAAGAAAGTTCTGAACAAAAAATGTATGGCGTACTTTTAGATTGGTCCAGCTGATGCTGAGCTACACTAGAAAACAAATTTGGAAAATATTTAGAAAAATTAAATTTGCGAGATAATCGTTCCGGAATACCGCCAATAAAATAGGGAAAAAGTTTTGAACAAAAAATGTATGGCGCACTTTTAGATTGGTCCAGCGGATGCTGAGCTACAATCAAAATAATTTTGGAAAAATTTTCGAAAAATTAAATTTTTGAGATAATCATTCGGGAATATAGCCATAGTGATTAGAAGAAAGTTCTGAACAAAAAATGTATGGCGCACTTTTAGATTGGTCCAGCGGATGCTGCGCTACAATCAAAATAATTTTGGAAAAATTGTTGAAAAATTAAATTTTCCAGATAATCGTTCGGGAATACCGCCAAAGTCTTTAGCAAAAAGTAGCGAACAAAAAATGTATGGCTTACTTTTAGATTGGTCCAGCGGATGCTGCGCTACACTCACTAAAACTGGGAAATAATTTTCGAAAAAAATTTTGCCAGATAATGACTCGTGAATAATGCCAAAAAATTGAGCAAACAGTCTCGAACAAAAAATGTATGGCGCACGTTTAGATTGGTCCAGCGGATGCTGCGCTACAATCAAAATAATTTTGGAAAAATTGTTGAAAAATTAAATTTTCCAGATAATCGTTCAGGAATACCGCCAAAGTCTTTAGCAAAAAGTAGCGAACAAAAAATGTATAGCGCACTTTTAGATTGGTCCAGCGGATGCTGAGCTACACTAGAAAACAAATTTGGAAAAAATTTAGAAAAATTAAATTTGCGAGATAATCGTTCCGGAATACCGGCAATAAAATGGGGAAAAAGTTTCGAACAAAAAATGTATGGCGCACTTTTAGATTGGTCCAGCGGATGCTGAGCTACAATCAAACTAATTTTGGAAAAATTTTCGAAAAATTAAATTTTTGAGATAATCGTTCGGGAATACCGCCATAGTGATTAGAAGAAAGTTCTGAACAAAAAATGTATGGCGTACTTTTAGATTGGTCCAGCTGATGCTGAGCTACACTAGAAAACAAATTTGGAAAATATTTAGAAAAATTAAATTTGCGAGATAATCGTTCCGGAATACCGCCAATAAAATAGGGAAAAAGTTTCGAACAAAAAATGTATGGCGCACTTTTAGATTGGTCCAGCGGATGCTGCGCTACAATCAAAATAATTTTGGAAAAATTGTTGAAAAATTAAATTTTCCAGATAATCGTTCGGGAATACCGCCAAAGTCTTTAGCAAAAAGTAGCGAACAAAAAATGTATAGCGCTCTTTTAGATTGGTCCAGCGGATGCTGAGCTACGCTAGAAAACAAATTTGGATAAACTAAATTTGCGAGATAATCGTTCCGGAATACCGCCAATAAAATAGGGAAAAAGTTTTGAACAAAAAATGTATGGCGCACTTTTAGATTGGTCCAGCGGATGCTGCGCTACAATCAAAATAATTTTGGAAAAATTGTTGAAAAATTAAATTTTCCAGATAATCGTTCGGGAATACCGCCAAAGTCTTTAGCAAAAAGTAGCGAACAAAAAATGTATGGCTTACTTTTAGATTGGTCCAGCGGATGCTGCGCTACACTCACTAAAACTGGGAAATAATTTTCGAAAAAAATTTTGCCAGATAACACAGCCCCACAAAAAAAAAAAAGTGTCATGTACTTTTGACCGGAATACCCTAACCCTATGTATTTTGACGCGCTGAACACGAATCCGAAGTCCGTTTTGCTCCATCACGTCAGGATTTTTTTCTAACCTCAAAAAACATGTCGGATTTTGAGAAGTAGGCGATTTTTTTAAAAATTGATGTATTAACTTCAAACTTGGTATCTGGGGGTTTTTTGTGTCGCTGATTACGAATCTGAAGATAGATTTTCAAAATCAAAAATGGCGGATCCAATATGGCAGACGAATTTTGAAAAAATTTTAAGATTTACTTCAAACTTGGTATCTAGGGGTTTTTTGGGTCGCTGATTACGAATCTGATGTCAGTTTTCAAAAATTGATAATGGCGTATCTAATGTGGCCGATAGAAGTCCATGTTGGATATGCTATTTTGAATTTTTGAAATCTGACATCAGATTCGTAATCAGTGACCCAAAAAACCCCCAGATACACTATTGCACATTAATTTTTGAAAAATTTCGTAAAATAATGTCCCCTTACCAAAAAAAATTCAAGGGATATTTCCTCCCCATAAAACAGCTTTTGGGGAAAAACAAAACATACGTGTCAAATTGTTTTCAAAAAACTACAAAACTGCCAAGTTTCAGAACAATCGGCGTATGGCACTTCCCTAGTGTTACTTGTCAGCAACTTAGAAAACCTGTAGATACCATATTTCATAATAATCTGACAATTTTTTAAAAATAATTCCTTAATATTGAATCAGACATATCGAATTTCGGAAATCTGACATCAGATTCGTAATCAGCGACCCAAAAAACCCCTAGATACCAAGTTTGAAGTAAATCTTAAAATTTTTTCAAAATTCGTCCGCCATATTGGATCTGCCATTTTTGATTTTGAAAATCTAACTTCAGATTCGTAATCAGCGACACAAAAAACCCCCAGATACCAAGTTTGAAGTTAATACATCAATTTTTAAAAAAATCGCCTACTTCTCAAAATCCGACATGTTTTTTGAGGTTAGAAAAAAATCCTGACGTGATGGAGCAAAACGGACTTCGGATTCGTGTTCAGCGCGTCAAAATACATAGGGTTAGGGTATTCCGGTCAAAAGTACATGACACTTTTTTTTTTTGTGGGGCTGTGTAATGACTCGTGAATAATGCCAAAAAATTGAGCAAACAGTCTCGAACAAAAAATGTATGGCGCACGTTTAGATTGGTCCAGCGGATGCTGAGCTACACTAGAAAACAAATTTGGAAAAATTAAATTTGCGAGATAATCGTTCCGGAATACCGCCAATAAAATAGGGAAAAAGTTTCGAACAAAAAATGTATGGCGCACTTTTAGATTGGTCCAGTGGATGCTGAGCTACAATCAAAATAATTTTGGAAAAATTTTCGAAAAATTAAATTTTCGAGATAATTGTTCAGGAATACCGCCATAGTGATAAGAAGAGAATTCTGAACAAAAAATGTATGGCGCAGTTTTTGATTGGTCCAGCGGATGCTGAGCTACACTCACTAAAACTGGGAAAAAATTTAGAAAAATTAAATTTGCGAGATGATGACTCGGGAATAATGCCAAAAAATTGAGCAAAAAGTCTGGAACAAAAAATGTATGGCGCATTTTTTGATTGGTCCAGCGGATGCTGAGCTACACTAGAAAACAAATTTGGAAAAAATTTAGAAAAATTAAATATGCGAGATAATGACTCGGGAATAATGCAAAAAAATTGAGCAAAAAGTCTTGAACAAAAAATGTATGGCGCACTTCTTGGTTGGTCCAGCGGATGCTGAGCTACACTCACTAAAACTGGGAAAAAATTTTCGAAAAAAAAAATTTGTCAGATAATGACTCGGGAATAATGCAAAAAAATTGAGCAAAAAGTCTCGAACAAAAAATGTATGGCGCACTTTTGGATTGTCCAGCGGATGCTGAGCTATACTCACTAAAACTGGGAAAAAATTTTCGAAAAAAAAAATTTGCCAGATAATGACTCGAGAATAATGCCAAAAAATTGAGCAAAAAGTCTCGAACAAAAAAATTAAATTTTCAGGATAGTCGATCGGGAATACCACCAATAAAATAGTCAAAAAGTCTAGAACAAAAAATGTATGGCGCACTTTTCGATTTATGGATGACATCTGAAACGTAAGTTTCAATTTTTCTTCACCTACTAGCCAGTGGGAAAAGCACGATTGACTGAATATTGGTCCAATATTGGAAGCACTTTTGCCAATCTTAGTCTATTATTTTATTCAATATTGGATCGAGTCTGGGAGTGTAGAGACCAATGCCAAGGTTCGAATTTCAATATTGGCCCTTTTTTTTAACCAATATTCAAAAATGCAAAAAATCAGACAACAGCCAAGATTAAAAAAATTAATTAATATAACTAAAATATAATAAAATTTTTTGTTATATTTATATATTATATTTTATTATATAGAATAACATTATTATTTCCCTTCGGATCAAGTGTTATATATAAAATCATCCGCAATAAACGGAGAAAAAGAAAAAAATATTTTCTAACGTCCTGCTAGGCATTAACAATTATCAGCTAAATAAAAGAGATATTGTGAATATTCTGTAAATATCGCGGATACTTATACCCAAACCGATTCATGTTGTTTATGAGAGAGAAAAACACTGCCATCTCGCGGATAGTTGGAATATTAACGTAGCGCGAAATTCAAACTGCATGAAGGAAAAACTGTAAGTATAAACATTTACTTGAAAATGTATTCACTTAAGAATGCATACTATTGCATTAAATAAAACTTAATTAATTTTACAATAGTCACAAATAATTTTTTTAATTTTAATTCTGTATACTTACAGGTTTTCTTTCATGCAGTTTGAATTTCGTGCTACGTTAATTTTCCAACTATTCGGCAGATGGCAGTGTTTTTCTCTCTCATAAACAAGATCAATCGGTTTGGGTATAAGTATCCACGATAGGTACAGAATCTTCCCAATATTTTTTTTATTTAGCTGATAGTTATTAATGCCTAGCAGGACGTTAGAAAATATTTTTTTCTTTTTCTCCGTTTATTGCGAATGATTTTATATATAACCCTTGATCCGAAGTGAAATAATAATGTTATTATATATAATAAAATATAATATATAAATATAACAAAAAATTTTAGTATATTTTAGTTTTAATAATTAATTTTTTTAATCTTGGCTGAAGTCTGATTTTTTTGTATTTTTGAATATTGGTTGAATATTGGGCCAATATTGAAATTCGAGCCTTGGCATTGGTCTCTACACTCCCAGACTTGGTCGAATATTGGATAAAATAACTGGTCCAATATTTAGCCAATATTCAGTCTTGGCAATTTCCCACTGGGTATTGGCAAATTAGATACCTGCTGTACCAACAATCGATAAATCGTTAAGACTAGGTTGCCTTCTTTGCCTGTTGATGATAAGGTAGATTCTTACCTTATTAGCAGTCGGTGGGTTGCAAATTTTCTTTTTTATCATTTACCTACTGCTAGTAAGGTAGTTTTGTATATTATCAACGAAAATGTGAATTTTCGCTTTTTATATTTTGAAATGTAATCATATCTTTCTGATCCTTTATATGAAGGTCAATAATTGAAATATAATTTTACTTTTCCTTACAAAGCAAAACTAATAAAAAATAAGTAATGTAAAATTAAATTTTTTTTATAATTAAGAGGCGAAATTATTATTAAACTTTTGTTAATAGAGAAAGTGTTAAAAAATAATTTAAAAATTGTAAAAAAATAATAATAATAAATTACAATAAATAGGATAAAATAAGATAGATGAAAAATTTGTTATTACTTTGGAAGTCTCAATTTTCTTCGACCAAGTTCTTCTTCTTTCGCTAATGCTTGTGGAGAAGAGGAAGACGATGGTGTTGTATTGAGTTCACTTTCTTCTAAACTATTACTAAGAGCAGATCCAATTTTGTTTCCCAGTCCTTGAAGATACTCTCCACCTTCACCTAAAACTGACCTCATTGACCTTAATGCACCTTTGGTACGACCCATGAACGAGCCAGCATCAGTCGACGGCAATGCAGTCGTTACATCCACCATTTTCTAACAAAAAATTAATTAAATTAATTTTACAAAATTAATATAATAGATTGATTAATATATTAAATTCCATGTTATTTTTATTTTTACAATATTCTTTTTTTTAATTAGCTTCCTCTTTGAAATTATCGTTGGGAATATAGCTATCTTATCGAAAAGGAAATCCTATTTCATTAAAAAAAAGCGAAGAGGTTAATAAATTTCTTTATTTTTAATTTTAGCTTTATCAAAAACGAATATACACGTTTAATGAAATTATTTATTTTAAAAAATATTTTTTTTCACTATATTTATTAATTTTTTTTATCATTTCTAAAGATATAATTGATTATTGCAACAGTTGATAAATATGTCAATATGTCTCTCAATATTAATAATTGAAAAATAAGATGTGAAAAAAATTATTTAAACACTCAATTAAAAAAATGTTTTTACTAATTTTATATTGAAATTTGAAAAAAATGTAAAACTAAAAAAAAAATTTTACAAACTAAGCTTCCGGTAGAAACATGCATTGCTGAAAAATATAAACATATACCTCTGCGGATATTCAATAGCAGCTGCTGCAATGCAGCAGGTTTACATATATACACATATATGTATGTACACACAAGTAGTCCCGTCATTAGACGTTATCCACAATGCGATAAGATGACAATATAATTGATTCTTTTTAACATTAACCTTGAAACATTTGTAAAACAACGTTTGTTTTGCCCTTGATTGTCACACGTGAATTTTAAAAGTACTCTAATTTGAGAAATTTATTGATTTTTTTCGAATATTTATTGCTTAAATGATGCAATTATTAACTATAATAAAATAATAATTTTTATAATAAATTGCAATAATAAGTTGAGTAGTATAAAAATTAAGTGATCAACAAAAAAAAATTATAATAATATATTGGTATGTAATTATTATTACATTGTTGAATCACAAAAATAGTATTTATTTTATTATTAGGGTAAAATTAAAATTTTTTAAAATTAATTATTTCTTATTTTATTTCCATTTGTTTATTTATTTTATTTTTTTGTTATTTATTTTTATTTTTTATTTTCATTTTTTCGAATAAACAAATAAATTCTATTTATAATTTACAATAGTTTAATATTTTTTAATGAAAACTTGTTTTACTATCTCTGTATAATACCTTTCAGTATATCAGGGACTTCCCAAAAATATCACTAGAGTGACAAGTAAGCAGGGTTGGGTAACAACGTGTCGAAAATCATTTCACGCATCTGATTGGCTGTGAATATTTCCCGTAATATTACGAGCCAATCAAAAGAGTAAGACAATTTTCGACAATATTTTTGTTCTCTAGGAATTATTTTTTTTATCATTATTTACGTTAATATTTACCAAACCATTTTTTAAAAAATTCCAATCGACTTTTTACTTTATATTTTTATTAAAATTTTATTTTTATCTTTACAAAAATTAAATAAGTTTACTATGATTTTTAGACAAAAATATTAAATAACAAATTACTTTTAGTTAGACGAAAATTTGCTTTTTTGTTAAGATCGTTTTTTGTATTTATAATTATAAAATGATAATTTTATTTTTTTATAAAATTAAGTAGATATTATTTTTTAAAAAGAAAAATGAATTTTTTGGTTTATTCCGTATGTATTGAATTTGTTTAGATTGTAATAAAGTGACCTAAGGATGGTGGCGAACTGTGCCTCCGAAACGTTGTCATTACATATGTGAATGTGTTTTATTTACCTGTCTTCCAAAAATCGATTTAAAATAATACAATATATATACATATATAGAAGAATTAAATATATAATTTTTATTAAAAATTTTTGATATTTTTATTTTTGTAATTATTTTACGAAAATTTGTTTAAATAATTAACAAAATTTAGTAAAAAGAAAATTTATTTACTGTAAAATCTAATTTAAAAAAATTTGAATAAAAAATATTTTCTTTAAATAACTTTTGTATTAGATACACTGAAAAAAAAATTATTTGATTCAAATAATCGGTTACTTGACTATTATCAAATAAATGTTTCCTTGAACCAAATAATTTTTATTTGACTTAAATAAATTTTTTGCGTTTCAAATTAAAATTTATTAAAAGCGCATTTACCAGGCAAATTAAATTTATAGAATTTAACAGCTGTCTTCTGTTTATTTAGATCGTAAACTTGTTGCACATATTCACCAGACGATATTTTACATCATACAAAATATATATCTACTAAAAACCCGTAATTCGAGTTTTAATTACAAAAATAACAAAAACTACAAAAACAAGAAATTGAATAATTTTGAAATTTATTTTACAATTTTCATTTTCATATGATAATCGTAATAAAAAGTAACTTCAATTATTTTGCCCACGATTCAGTCATAAAACATATGTTTTAGTTTTTTAACTATAATTTTCAAAAAAATGTTATTATTAATATTTTTTTTTTCTACAAAAATCAATATTTAAAAAAGCTCTTTTAATATGTACATTAAAGAATAAAATTGCATAAGGTGTTAGCAAGTTAGAAGATAAAATATATTCAAGTACAGTGAGTTGAAAAAAAATAATTCAGTTAACATAAATTTTTAAATATTTTGTAAAAAAAATGAGACTTACGTGAAAAATGCCAGACTTTTTCACCTCTTATAGACTATTACCGTTAATAAAAAGTCTACAGCCGTGTGTTTCTGTTCACTTCCATACTGCGATAATATGTCAACACACGTGACAATTGCATTGCGCTTGCGTTTTTGATAATCAATAAGTCAAACTCACTTTTATAAATTTTAGCGGGTATATATTTACCTACTACACACGAGATAACAGTCGGTAATTTATCATTTGATGACAACATTAAAAAAAAATTTATTTTAATTATTTTCCATTTATTTATTTATATTTATTTTTATATAAAGCATAACTTTAATAAATTTTATAAATAGCTTAATTCTAAAAAAATTTGAAAATACTCTGAAAAATGAATATTAACAAATATTCCAATCCAATATTAAATAAAATTTATTATTGGACTAAATTTATTGAAAAAATTTAAACTTTAAAATTTTCATTTTAGATCAACAACATTTAATAATATAAAAAAGTTCTCCATATAATTTTTGGTTTAGAACTCTGATGTCTTAAGGATAAATACATGAAAAATTAAATATCTCTAAAAAAATTGTGAACTTTTTTTGAACTTTTTTTCAAAATTTCTCTTCTATAATTTATAAAATGTAATTAATTTTCTAGTTCATCATCTTTGTATGACAATTTGAAGTAAATTAAAAAAAAAAAAAAAGAAAAAAATTATTAATCCTTTAAAACCAATAAAACAGAAAGTCTTTTAATCGTCTGATTATAATATTTCAAGATAAGTTCACAATCGTCTTCTTTGCAAAAATGTAATTGATTGTTTATAAAAGTATAATAATAATTTCTGTTATTTCAATTGTTAGTTAATTTTTATGTATAAAGGAAAAAAAATTAAAAGTATTCAGTAAAAAAAAATGTTAACATTTTTAGTTTTTAAAATATTTAAAAGTAACAAAATTATATTTAAAATTTTTATAACGATAATTTATTAATTAAATTATACTTATTTTTAAATGGAGAGGGAAAATGAAAAGTTTTCTCAAAATCATAAAAAAATCATCGATAAAACTTCGATCAATAAAGGCAGTCGATTTTGGCAATTTGTTGTCGGTATTTCAGGTAAGTTACTAATTATTGTTAATTTAATTAATTAACTAATTGAAATACAATGACTAAGTGATAAAATAATAATTATTATTATTCATCTTAAGCTTTATTTCATGGAAAAATAAAACGAAATTAAAAAAGTCCTTTTTCCAAAAAAAAGTCAAAAATAATTTTAATTTTCAAAAAGGGTAAAATTTTAAATTTTTTGAAACAATTTTTTAAAAAAGGAAAAGGAAAAGTATTTTTTTAAAAAGTCAATTTATATGGCCGACAAACGTTTTCTTCTTTACCGACTGATGCTAAAGTATATTTCTATATTATCAACAGTCCATAAAATGTACATTTATTTCGTCTTCTTTGTAAACTGCTGGAAAATTAAAGTCCTATAATACCAACAGTCGGTAAATCGTCAATTTTGGGTTTACTTCTTTGCCTACTCATGGTAATGTAGATTCCCATATTATCACTAGTCTGTAAAACCTAAATGTTAGTTTTTCATACTCAACAGAATTTTAAGTTATTCGAATTTTTAAATGACAGAATTTCCAATAAATCGAATCTTTATTTTTTCGAATTTTTATTTGCACGAATTATAATTTGATGGCAATGTAAACTCCTACCTTATAAGGAGTCGGTAAAATGTTAATTTTGTATTTTCTTCGCCGACTAATGGTAAATTAGATTCCTAAAGTACCAACAGTCGGTAAAACGAAAATTTTCAAAATCGAGCCTTAATGTTTTTGTATTAATTGCAATATTGGCCATTTGTAGTTTCAAATAATTGGCAATTCGACTTTTTAAAAATTTGTTCAAATAACAATTTGTGCAAATAAAAATTTTGACAAATGAAGAATTGGTGAATTGGAAATTCTGGCATTTAAAAATTCGAATCACTAAAAAATTGTGTTGAATGAGAATTCGGTTAAATAAATATTCGATTAATTTCGAATTTTTTAAACGAAAATTTGAGTAAAGAAAAATTCGGCACCTAAAAAAATGTTTAGTTAAAATTCGTTAAAAATTAAATGCTATCAAATGCTAATTCTAAAAATGCATTTTGTCTAAAAAATAATTATTATATGTAATAAAATTATTATAATGAAAATTTTAACAATGGATTTTTATGGAAAATTTATGCGTCTCAAATTTTTATATTGAATTTATTTATTGTTAAATTGTATTGTATTTTAATTAATTTTAATCATTTTATTAATAGCTTGCATTGGGATGGTGGGTTGGGGAGGATGTCAAGCATGGACATCGCCATCAATTCCTTATTTGACTGGCAATAATTCACCATATCCAGTTACTGAGGAACAAGGCGCTTGGATAGTATCGATATTTTACATTGGTGATCTTTTTGGAGCATTTCTTAATCCTTTCTTCATTGATCGTATAGGACGAAAAAATACATTAATACTTTTTGCCTTTCCCGGATTAATTGGTTGGGGAATGATTATTTTTGCCAAAAATTATATCTATCTCTATGCAGCAAGAATAATTATGGGCATTGGACAAGGTAGTACATATAATTCCCTTGTGATATATTTGGCAGAAATATCCGAAAAGAAAGTGAGAGGAATCTTAATAAACATGATTCCAGCGTCAAATTTTATAGGTCTCTTTGTTTGTACATCAGTTGCAGCATTTAAATCATATGAATTTTTAAATTATTTCACAGCATCACTGCTGATTTTTTTTATAATGACTTATCCACTATTAATAGAAACACCATATTATCATTTACTTTGTGGTCGGCATGATGATGCCATGAAAAGTCTAATGAAATTAAGGGGAATCGATGATCCAAAATTATTGGATTTAGAAATTAGAGAAATGACTTTGACAATAAATGATCGTAAATTAAAATCCTCGTGGCGTGAATTATTCATCAAGAAACATAATCAAAGAGGATTGATAATTATGTTTTGGATAAAAATAACACAAATGATGACTGGAATTGGACCAATTTCAGCTAATGCACAGGAAATTTTTAGCTATTCTGATTTATCGAATATCAATGCTGGTGTACAAGTAATGATTTTCAATGGAATTTCATTGTTTGCTTCGCTAACGACTAATGCAGTGATAGAGCGATTTAAGAGAAGGACACTTTTTTTAACGACAGCTTTGATAAGTTCATTTTGTTTAGGAACTGTTGGTACAGTATTCTTTATGATTCTCTATCAAAAGACTAATGATATTTCAATAATAAAGTGGTTTCCATTGATATCTTTAGTTATTTTTCAAGTTGCCCATGTTGTTGGAATTGGTACTGTTCCATATATTATTCAAGGGGAAATTTTTCCAGTTAATGTAAAAGGTGCTGCCGTTTCCTGTGGAATGACTATGGGATCAATTTTAATTTTTATTACTTCAGCTGGCTATAAATTTTTAAGTATTGCTGCTGGTGTTTATACGACTTTTTGGATTTTTGCCATATCATGCTTTTTCTTATCTATTTTCACATTTTCAATTATGCCAGAAACTAAAGGCATGACACTTGAAGATATTTTGGCACTAAGGGATCCGGAAATGAAAATAAAATTAGACAACGAACGCAACAAGTTTCAAAATGGTTGTGAAAATTAGTTTTTAGGTATTAATGTGTATTATAATTTTACCTATTGGCAATTCAAAACAGTATAATCAGAGCTCCAGCGGTCAAAGTTTGAATTAAAGTGTTTTGGAGAAAATTTTTATTAAAAATTTGAATTAGTAAAAAAAATAACTAATTTTATCAGTTAAGTGTTGAACGGTCTCTGAAATTTTTTGTCAAAGAGATACTTTTAATTATCGCCCTATAAAAATGGCACTGAACGTAAAATTGATAAAACATTGATTTTAAAAAACTTTATTCTCTAAACATAAGCACTTTTTATAAAATCAGCCAACGTACTAAGAATTTTTATTTTATAAATTTGTTCATGCAAAGAAACATTTAATAGAAAATTGCTTGGCTGTTTAAATGAAGTGAGACAATGTACATGTATAATTTAAAAAATTACAATTTATTTATTTGAATGTTGGTAAAAATTGAGTACACCGATGAATTAATATTTGTGAAAAAGTGATTGCTCGATCCTACTCAAGCGAGAGCAGAAACGGTTCTGACGATTATGGCAAAGTGTCATGTCGTCGTAGTCAAAGATTACATTAGTAGCTTGTGTACAGTGGTCAAAATGTTTTGGTAACATGGTGTTTAGTACAAGTATATTTTGTAGATTTTTTGGACCCAGGTTTTGCTTGTGATAATATTTACAACTTTATTTTTTTTTACCTTTAGAAAATAGATTAAGAATAAGCTATTCTAAATTTAATTTTTACTTATTTTAACTCTCAACGGAACAAAATTTCTTAAATCCAAAAGATTTCCCTAATCCATGCAAAAACGCGATCACAAAATTGAAAATAGGAAAGTAATATAATTACAGGTTCATTATGCCCTTCCGCCGTCAGATGGCATAAACATGCAGGGAGCACAAAGTCGCAACTGTCATTATATTACTTTCCTATTTCCAATTTTGTAATCGCGTTTTTGCATGAATTCAAACGATCTTTTAGATTTAGGATTAAATGTGATTTGGAGGTTATGTTACGATTACTATCCTCCCTTAATATACATGTACATATTAGATCAATCTTTGGCCAATTGTAAGGTATTTCTATGACTGATCGATTATTTTATTATTATTATTTTTTGTTAACCTTTAGAAATAAGTTGAAAAATATGTTATTTATATATATATATACGTAAAGTGATTTTTTATCTATATATTTGTGCGACTTTCTATGTTATTGTCATACGTATGACGGATTGTTTTTTACATTATATAATAATTATTAGACAATAACATAAATAAGTATAATGGTTTTTAATTAAATCTTTTATATATTAACTTCCATAATATCTCACTTGCAATTATTTAACTATTTAAGAATGTATTGTGTAATATACCAATTATTTATTTATTAATTACCGATAAATTAACTGCCGTAATCCTAAACGACTGTGCAGAAAAAAAATGTTTGTTGATAAAAACAAACGATATTGGGAATATAATAAATATATAAAACCTACACGTTTAATCTTTAAACTGTTTAGGTGTTAAAAAATTATGCTTAGTGCTTTTCCCGGTCTGTCAGACCGCTATTCCTCTTTTTTTTTTTTGTTTTTTTAGTAATTTGAAATTATATCACTAAATAATTCATAGTCATATAATTATGTCACACAATTATGTGTACAATAAATTAGGTAGTTCAAGTTGAGTTAGGGAAAAATTCAAGATGGACCTAAGCATAAACAAACATTAGAAATGTATATATGGAACGAAATCGAATTTTTTTTTAACATCTCGCTTAAATTATGGAATTAGTTCTTCTAGATTAATGTATAAATTTTGTGAAATATATTTAAAAAGTCTATAATTATCCAAAAATAAGGAAAAAAAAGCGATATACTTTTTTTTTTGTAAAAAGTATTAAAATTGCATTTACAAAAATGTAGTGCAGTAAAAATACATTTGGTAATCAGTGAGACATAAATTTTCTGTAGAGGAACTTGGAATCAATTTCAAAATGTAAATATAGTTAAAACTATTTACTTATACATATCTTTATTATTCGTCTCTCGCAGTTGAAGGACGTTAATTATTATATTAATACGTCACGTGGTAATAGCATAAATTCATAATTCTTAAATACCAAGAAACCTACAAACGTAAATAGTATAGTAAACGTTATCTCTAACTTGAAGTTCATATAGTTATTTCACTATTAACACTTTCATAGAAAGAAAAACGAGTATACAATAAATGCAGTTTATTTACTTTATATTAGTACTCATAGAATTTTAAAAAAAAGTTCCAAAGAAATGAATCGAGAATGAAAATTTTGTTTTTTCAAAATTGTTTTTCAAATTTTGGCAGAAGATTTAATAATGGAAAAGTTAACGAACAATCACAAAGTGAAGGAAGTCAAACTCAACAGTATCTTGCAGCAGTTTGTGGTATGTTTTTTTTTCTATAAGAAAACAAAAATTCTGTATCGGATATCCACCCCAGGTGACCCAAATGTTTTTTTATTTGTATATTACAAAAAAAAATTACAACTATTAATTAAATAATTGTTTAAAAAAATTTTATTATTTTTATTTTTTTTATTTTAATTATTTATTAACTTTTATACAATTCAGTCTCTTCCTAATTTTGCAATTTAATAAAATAAACTTAATAAAAATTGAAAAATTTAAACAAAAGTCATTAATTCAAAAATTGTTTTTAACTGGCACAATTCCGCTTTCAAACGTAAATGTTACAACGGGTCTGCTGGACCCGACATATACAAACATGTATTGTACAGCCGGTATTGAATATTTTTAAACAAAAATTTAATCTGATGTAGCTTGTGATGTGTTTTTTAAAAATTTAATTAGTTTTACAGGAATTAATTTATTTTAAGTTAGTTAAAAAAATTGTGAAAAATAAAAACGAAAAATTGCATGTTTTTACTTAAAAATTCATGAGTTATTTAAATTTTAATATTGTGACTTAAAAATTTAAGGTTATACTCTTGATGTATTATTTTTTATCCACAGGGAACTGGCAGTAAACACACTCCTCACTATCCCTTTACTTAAAGCGCTGCAGGCAGGATAAAGATGTAAAAAATTATTATATTAAGAATTTTTTAAACAAAAAATTGTTATTTATTAACATTTTTCATAGAGCATCTAGAAATATGCTGTTTTTTTAATTTGACAATTTATCAAGTTCCACACTACTATTTACATTTAAAGTTCATTCAGAACTATTGCGCGTATCAGGTTATGGAGTTACTAAATAACAATTTGTTTAAACAATTGATGAAAAAATGATTGCATATTTAATTCTTATCTGGTATAATATTTAGTTTAGTGAATTTGAAAAATTGGAAAAAAACAATATCTTTTTAGGTGTATTGCAAAAAAAGTTAATAAATAACAATTATTTGTTTAAAACAAAAATAAACAATTCATTTAAACATTAATAAAATAAATTATTTGTTAATATATAATAATTCTAGTAAATATCTTTGATGATTCCAAGTCTTTTTAGAAACATACCAATAAGAAAACATTTGGGTTATTTCTCCTGTAAGGAGAAAGTTAATTTAATTATTTAAAAAGTTAATTAAATTAATTAATTAATTAAAGTTATTTTTTTTCACCTTCTAGCATGTACAACTCTGGCGGCTTGTGCATCCTATCATGCATGGTCATCGCCAGCTATACCTCACTTGACAAGCAAAAAATTCAAATTTTCTGTAACTGATAAACAAATTGTTTGGATAGTTTCATTATACAATATTGGCGATATTTTTGGAGCACTTTTAAATCCATTATTTATTGATCGTATTGGACGGAAAAATACTTTATTTCTTCTATCTCTACCAAGCTTAATTGGATGGGGTCTAATTATTTTTGCTCAAAACAATATTTACTTCTATATTGCAAGATTTTTAGGTGGAATTAGTCAAGCAAGTGCTTTCAATTCTTTATCAATCTACTTGACAGAAATTTCCGAAAACAATATCAGAGGAATTCTAGTGAATATGATGCAAGTATCATTCTATATTGGCCTTTTTATCTTCACAACAATTGGAGCCTTTGCATCATATGAAATTTTAAACTATTCTTCTGTCTCACTATTAATTATTTTTCTTGTGATACTTCCATTCTTGCCAGAAACGCCCTATTTTTATCTTTTAAAAGGCAAAAAAGATGATGCTATGAAGTGCTTAATGAAATTAAGGGGAATAAGTTCATCAGACAAATTAGAACCTGAAATACGTGAAATGAAATTGGTAATTGAAGAAGATAAAAAAAATACAAAAACATATGCATTCTTGGAATTATTCACAAAAAGTTACAATCGAAAAGGATTGTTAATCATGTTTTTTATGAGAACAACAATGATGTTCTCAGGTATTATTTGTATAATAGCTTATGCTGAGGATATTCTCAGTCAAAATAATCTTTCACTTAAACCAGGTATTCAAGTAATGATTTTAAATGGAATAGCATTGCCAGCATCTTTATGTACTGGTTTATTTATTGACAAAATTAACAGAAGAATATTGTTTTCTGCAACTTCTATGTTGGGTTCATTTTGCTTAGGTAGTGTCGGTCTCTTTTTCTTTCTCAAGTATTATCTTATGACAGAAACTTCTTCAATTGCATGGTTACCAGTTGTAGCATTAACATTATTTCAAATAGTTTTTATTTCTGGATTTGGAATAATTCCCCATATTTCCATTGGTGAACTTTTTTCAATAAAAGTGAAAAGCAGTGCAGCTTGCTTGGGTAGAATTCTCGTATCCATTATTAATTTTGCTACTACTGCCGGATATAAACCATTAAACAATAGTTTTGGAATCTACACGACATTTTGGATTTTTGCTTCTCTTACTTTTGTTGGATCTTTGGTGACTTATTGGATCACACCAAATACAACAGGAATGACATTGGAGGAAATTCAAGCTATGCAAAATCCAGAACTAGAGAATAAGCTTAATTTAGAACGCAAATCCAGAAGAAATGAAAATATTTAAAAATTCTTCATTTTCTGTAGAATGGTATATAAAAAAATTTTGCTAAATAAATTATATAAGTTGGTAAGTTAAGGAAGAGTGTTTTTTAAAATTTTTGTATTAATATATTTTAACTTATAAATGGAGAAAAAATGACAAAGTTTTTAATATAGTTTGTTGTGCGTTTAAAGAGCTTCTAAGAAAATAATTTAATAATTTCATCAGAAACAAATAAAATTGTTTTGAATTTAAAATTATTAAATTATGATTACAAATATGTTAAAAAACGAGAACTATGTAAAAAAAATTCATTATATGTAACATACTTTAATATTATTTTAAATATTGTTCATTTTATTAAAAGGGTGTCGTTCGCATTGTTTTCATATCACACATTTTTAAATTAATATATTTATAAACGCTTACAGACCTCGGATCGACTTTAAGGCGCAAAAAAGGTCGTTTTAGTCGATTTTTTTATTTTAATTAAATTTAATTAGGTAATAAGTAGGGGAATAGTGTCAGGGTTGGACACAGTTTTGGTTTTTTGTTTATAAATATTTTGTTTAGATAAATTCAGTCAATTGTGGTATATGGGTGGAAAGATCTACAAAAGAGGAACACTTTTGCTGTGGACCGTAAATTGATTGGTCCAAAATTAAAAAAGTTTTAAACATTTAAAAAAAAAATCTAGTCAGGGTTGGACTTTTCAGTCAGGGTTGGACACTTTTTGAAAATCGAAACGCATTATTGGTAAAAACGTAAAATAACATAAACGTTGGGTACTTAAGGTTCGTATTTTAAAAGGTTTTAAATTGAAATTTTTGGTAATTTTATTTAATTTTTTTTATATTGTAGTTCAATTTCATAAAATTTTTAATTGAAAAATAATTGAGCCTGCACTTAACAAAGTGTTTAATTTTAAACGTATGTTATTAAAAAATTTAAACCCGAATGCTAAAATGTCATTTATAAAATTAAAAATACACTGAAAAAAAATTTATTTGATTCAAATACACGATTACTTGACTATTATCAAATAAATATTTACTTGAACCAAATAATTTTTATTTGAATTAAATAAATTGTATTTGAACCAATAATTTCTATATATTTGAAACAAATACCATTTAATTGACTCAAATAATAATTATTTCATACAAATAAATATTTATTTGATAATATTCAAGTAATCGATTATTTGAAACAAATAAATTTTTTTTTCAGTGTATCCTCCGGATGTCGGTTAATGTATATCCGTTACCCTATTATAAGTTTCTAAAATATTTATTACCTAATTATTTATGTTATTTAACTATAAGCATTATAATGTTAATAAATATTTAAATTGTAAAATATGCAATTCATTATTTAATTATATTTAATAATGATTATGTAACGGTGACATGACATATAACTATTTCTTTATTAAAATTTTATCGACTAATTACATAATGACTATTTAAGTCACGTGGTGACTTAAATTAACAATTATTATTTCAAGAAAACTATAAGTATGTCTGTAAACATTATCCATAACAGGTTTTTTTTCGTATCTCTGGGGTCAGAGTAGGAAATAATAACTTGATGTATATACACGTATCAATGTTAACATTTTTCACATTAGTATGTAAAATATTGAAAAATGATTTCAAAGAAACGACTATATTAAATTTTAAATCAAAAAGTCTCTCAGTAAAGTAGCGATGTTCTGTTTGTTTGTAAAAAGTATTAAAGTTGCACTTACAAAAAAAAAAGTTTTAGTAAAAATGAATTTGATAATCAACGGGAAATAAATTTTCTAAATAGAAAATTGGAGTTGACTTCGAAATGTAAATAGTTTAATCTATTTACTTAATTCTTCATTAGTCATCTCTCATTGCTGATTAAGAAACATTGTACATTAAATTTTCAAACAAAAAGTATCTCAGTGTATAGTAAACATTACTTGAAGTACATATTCAAAATACTTGTAGTTTTTTCATCCAGTAAAAATAATTGTAAAAAAATTCTTTCAGAATATTTTGTGTACGATATAATATAATAAAATTATTTATTCAGACTATCTTGAAAAAATTATTTTAAACTATATTGTCATTTCACTATTAACTCTGTTAAAAAGAAGAACAAGAATACAATAATTGCATTTAATTCACTTTATATTAGTATTCAGAATTTTCAAAAAGGTTCCAAAGAAATGAATCGAAAATGAAGATGTTGTTTTTTCAAAATTGTTTTTCAAACCTTAGCAGAAGGTTAAATAAAGAAGAAGTTAATGAACAATCACAAAGCGATGGAAATCGAACCCAACAGTATTTTACAGCAGTTTGTGGTATGTTTTTTAAAAATATTTATCTTAAAATTATTTCTTTACCATAATGAATAAATTTTGCACTGTTCTTTGCTTTTAAATCACTTTTTTTGTTTACATTTCGATATTTTTTTTTATTTTTGAATTCAAATAAATGTATAAATAAAATCGTGGTCTGTCCAAACGTCGACCACAGACATGTGATTCTTAGATTCACAATGTTAATTTTTTTGGGACCTTTATTCTTAATATATTAAATAGATTGATCTGAAATTTTGTGGACGTGTCTAAAATAAGAGAAACAATTATTATGTGTTATTAAAAAATTAATTTATTTAAACAAATTATATTTATTACATTACAATTTTTTTAGTTCTATTTTAAAAATCTATTTGTTTATAATTCTTCTAATAGAAATTTAGGTGAAAAACTTGGAATGTTATGTATGTTTCTTTATAATAGCAATTTTTCCCGTAGAATCGAATAGCACCATCTATTTTTATAATTTTCGATTTGTTAATAACAATTTGTTTAAACAAATAAATTTTTTAATAACTTTTAACGCCAAAAATTAACCCAAAAAAATCACATGTTGTTAAGTTTGAAATTCACTTTAAGGAAAACAATATTAATTTGTTTAAAATATGGCCACTTTGACTTAGACTTTTCATTTTACTTTCATTTATAATTTGAAATTTCTATTTTTAAAGTGAAAATCAGGGTGTCTACTAAAAGTCTAATTTAAAATTCCAGGATCATAAACGGTTATTCAACTGGAGCATTATTTAAACAAAAATTATTGAAAATATAAAGCAAAATCTAAATAAATCATGTACTGAAATTAAAATTCCAATACTTTTTGGACTTTCAGGACCAATAGACAACATGAAAATGAAAGTGAAAATGAAAGTCAAACATCAGATCCAAAAAATTTTAGGTTATGTTTAGTGATAGTTTTACCCACGAAGTAGTATAAGGAGACCCCACTGCTATATTAAGCCCACGAAAAGTTGAAGCTGATTTCCCCGTTTCTCTTACAATTAACGGAGGTGTCGAACCTATCGGAAAAGTTGGGAACTAGTAACCCACACTGACACAAAATATGTACATTCAGTTACTAACACATAGAACTTTCGCAAAATGGCTACCGTGACATAACCTGCATAAACTGATTGTTTTTATAACGCTTTGTTTTTTTCTGGTTTTTGTAAATAATTTAAAGAAAAATAAGGAAATATGATTAGTTGTTCTATTATAAAGGATGTAAAACAAATTGTGTTAAAGGCAATACAAAATATAAATCTATTTACAAAACTATTTTCAATGAAATCCAAATAATGATGAGTTTCATTTTAAATATAAATCTTATTAAAGTATATTTTTATCACAACCATAATTAAAATAAAATTTAAACAGTTTAATAATTTATATTCACTTGCAGTTACTAATTCTACCTCGATACTGTGATTTTACATAACATAAATAATTATATCATGTTTATATTCATGGGAATTCTCCATGTTTACATCGCTCATGTCACTTTTAGCAGACGAAATTTTGGAGGTATCCCTACTAAAAATCCCTGTATAAGATCTTGTACAATTTCCTGTACTGGATCAGCAACTGAACTTGTACAAGTTCTGACCAGTTCCTGTACAGGAAAATGCATACTAATTTGGAACAAGTTCATGTGTGAGATCTTGTGCAAGATCTTGTACAAGAAAATGTACATGATCTTGTACAATTTCATGTATAAGTACTTGTACATGAACACGTTCATGTTTTTGCACATGTATAGTTGTAAAATTTTTTTTTTAATAAAATTTGAGATTTTGATAATTTTTAACCACTAAGATTCGTAACTCATGCATGCTAAAAACTATTGCGCAGCTGTAAAGGTTAAAGTAAACTATTGCGCAGCCTTTGAAGTTTTTAATTTTTAGTAAAGAAAAAAAAATTAACATGTGTAAGAACATGGACGTGTTCATGTACAAATACTTATACATGAAATTGTACAAGATCTTGCACCAGATCTTGTACAAAATCTCACACATGAACTTGTTCCAAATTCGTATGCATTTTCCTATACAGGAACTGGTCAGAACTTGTACAAGTTCACTTGCTGATCCTGTACAGGAAATTGTACAAGATCTTGTACAGGGATTTTCAGTAGGGATCAAATTTTCCCGTTCGGGTTCGACACCTGACACCTCCGTTAATTGTAAGAGAAACGGGGAAATCGGCTTCAGCTTTCCCAGACAGTGGTGTCTCCTTATACTGCTTCGTGAGTACAAGTAAAGCTCCCACACTATAGCTTTTTGTGTATTTACACCATGAAGTAGTATAAGAAGCACTCATTCTATAGGCCGTTTTTGAAAATTCTTCCCCAGCCTTTCCAGATTTAATAGAAGCATTTACATATCCCCGATTCTAACAACCCTAGCGGAAAAGCGAGGAATTACAGGTCACGTGGTACATTGTTATATAAGTAATTGTGTATAACTGTTAGTTGGCGTTTTTTTTTAAATGTGTTTGATGCGAGTTAATTTTGTGTAATTATAAATAAAAAAGTGAAAAATGAGGCTGCTAAATTGATCAATGAATCAGCATTAACATTGGCAACTTTACTTGATACAAATTATTTTGTATGTATTTGAATGTTAACAAAATACTTGCTGAACTTGTCACTATATTTTGTTTGTTTACATGTAAATATAACCTAAAAATAAAAAAAAATTAAGAAATTTCGTTTGAAATATATACGGCTACAATGAAAAATAATTATTTATATTTTTATTATTTTTTTATTTTTATTTAACTTACAACAAATTATTGCAATTCCTTCATTATTTCATTATGAAACATAATTGAAAACAAATATTTTAAAAATCTAAATTATATATTCGTATATAAATAAGCAAAACCTTACCAATTTTCAAATATATTTTCAAAAAAAATTTATGTTTTATTTAAAATTTTTGTGTGTTACTTTTTTCTTTCTTTACACTTTTTCTAAAATTATTATATATAACTTTACACTGTTTACTATATGAGAACAGCTGTCACTAGGCGCAGCCATATTTTAAAAACTTCTAAGTACTCCGCTTTACCGCTAGAGGCGTCATAATCGGAGATATGTAATTTCGGATTTATTCTCATGCAGGGGACCCATATGCTTAACAAGCAGTGAGTGCTCCTTATACTACTTCATGATTTACACTTCAAAAGTCACAAACATAACCTAAAATTTGATCTTCAGAACATGTAAAAGAAATATTTTGAGAAAATCACCTGTATGTTATACCGAATATGTCGGATTTAATTAATTATTATGTATTAAATTAACTATTAAAATAATTAAAAATATTGTAAAATTTTTAATATTTTTTTTTCTTTCCTACAGCATGTACCATCATAGCAGCTACAGCATCATATAACGTATGGTCGTCGCCATCTATTCCTCACTTGACAAGCAAGAAGTTCAAATTTTCTGTAACAGAAGAACAAATTATTTGGATAGTATCATTATACAATGTTGGTGATATTTTTGGAGCAATTCTAAATCCTTTATTCATTGATCGCATTGGACGCAAAAACACTTTATTACTTCTTTCTCTACCAAGCTTAATTGGATGGGGATTAATAATTTTTGCACAAAACTATATTTATCTCTACATAGCGAGATTATTTGGAGGAATTAGTAAAGCAAGTGCTTTTAATTCTTTATCAATATATCTAACAGAAATTTCTGACAAAAATGTCCGTGGAATGCTGGTTAATATGATGCACATATCACTCTATATCGGTGTCTTCGTCTTTACAACAATTGGAGCATTTGCATCTTATGAAACTTTAAACATTTCCTCTGTCTCAATATTGATTATATTCATTCTTATAATTTCATTTTTACCTGAAACGCCTTATTATTATCTTTTACAAGGAAGAAGAGCTGATGCTATGAAATGCTTGATGAAACTAAGAGGAATAAGTTCATCAGACAAATTGGAACCTGAAATACGTGAAATGGAATTAGTAATTGACGAAGATAAAAAAAATACAAAAACATTTGCATTCTTGGAATTATTCACGAAAAGTTACAATCGAAAAGGATTGATAATCATGTTCTTTATGAGAGCAACCATGATGCTTTCAGGTATTGTTGCTATTACTGCTTTTGCTGAAGATATTTTTAGTCAAAATAGTCTTCCAATTAAACCAGGTGTTCAAGTAATGATTTATAACGGAATAACATTACCAGCAACTTTATGTACTGGCTTTTTTATAGATAAAATTAACAGAAGAATATTGTTTTCTGCAACTTCTATGTTGGGTTCATTTTGCTTAGGTAGTGTCGGTCTCTTTTTCTTTCTCAAGTATTATCTTATGACAGAAACTTCTTCAATTGCATGGTTACCAGTTGTAGCATTAACATTACTTCAAATATTTTTTATTTCTGGATTTGGAATAATTCCCCATATTTCTATTGGCGAATTTTTTTCAATAAAAGTGAAAGGTAGTGCAGTTAGCTTGGGTAGAATTCTCATATCCGTTATTAATTTTGCTACTACTGCCGGATATAAACCATTGAGCAATAGTTTTGGAATCTACACGACTTTTTGGATTTTTGCTTCTCTTACTTTTGTTGGATCTTTGGTGACTTATTGGATCACTCCAAATACAACAGGAATGACATTGGAGGAAATTCAAGCAATGCAAAATCCAGAACTAGAGAATAAGCTTAATTTAGAACGCAAATATAGGAGAAATGAAAATACTTGAAAATTCTTCAGTTTCTGTAGAATAGGATAAGTGTAATCCTCCTAAAAGTGACCGATTTGATTTCTAAGTTGTGCAAAATTAATTCTTAAAAATTCAAAAGAATTTTTCTAGAAGCTATTTTTAAAACTAAAACATAATTGTGACCCGGACAGTTAAAAGGGGGCATTACGTCCGAAAAAATTAATTTTTTATTGATTGGTGATTCTGATAGAAAAAAGTTTTCTCTGTCAGAATCACCAATCAATAAAAAATCGATTTTTGCGGATGTAAAGTCCCTTTTAACTGTCCAGGTCAAATATTTGAAATAAAATTTTGCAATATTTACAAAAGATTAATAATGGTGCGCCTGAAATGGGTTTAAATGAAAATTGCTTGCACTCTAATATTTCTTGTGGATTTTGAATCTTTGAGTGAGCCCACAGTATTTTTAAACAAAAAAGAAAATAATCGCTGGAGCCCTTTTCGAGAAAAATAAGTTTAAATATTTTTTCAATGATAGCACAGCCCCACAGAAATAAAAATATCATGTGCGGATTACCCGAGTATTACCCTCATGTATTTTGGAGCGCTGAACACGAATCCGAGGTCATATTTGCTCCATCACGTCAGGATTTTTTTCTAACCTCAAAAAACATGTCAAATTTCATAAAACATACAAATTTTTTTAAAATTGATTGTATTCACTTAAAACTCGTTTCTCGGGGGTTTTTGGGATCGCTAATTACGAATATGAAGTCAAATTTTAAAAAATCGTCAGCCATATTGGATCCACTATTTTCAATTTTTAAAATTTGACTTCATATTCGAAACCACCCAAGAAGCACGTAATATAACCTCAATATCAAGGTAATATTACATGTAAGATTCGTAATATAACGTTGTAATATTACAGTAATCTTACAGTGATCTTAAAATGTCCGCCTCAAGGTAATATTACCGGTAATGTTACTGTAATATTACGCGCTAATATTAAGGTAATATTACAGTAATATTGCAGTAATATTATACCGTAATATTAAGGTAATATTACAAGAGAATATTACAGTAATATTATGGGAACATTTCTTTACGAAAAAAATCTACCCATCCAGGGAATCGAACCCCGAACTCAAAGCACACGAGTCCAGAGTTTTACCAACAAGCCAAATTGACTTATAATATATTTACGTGTAATATTACCTTGATATTGAGGATATATTACGTGCTTCTTGGGCAACTTTATAAGCATTAGGGTAAATTTAAAAAATATTTTTTAGTAAATTATGAAAATATTTTCTCATGATTTAATTTTATGATGCTAATACTCAAAAGAACTCAGTTATTTACTACTATTTTTATCATAATTTAATTTTATGATGTTAATACTCAAAAGAAAGTGAATAGATTTTATAAAATTAATCGGGAAATCTAAAAGGACACTTTCAGGAGAATCACTCATAAAGAATTTTTGCATAATATATTATATTAGTTAATAAGTTTATGAAGAGTGTTTTTTAAATTTTGTATTAATATACTTTAACTTATAATTAGAGAAAAAGTGACAAAGTTTTTAATTCAGTTTGTTGTACAGATATATGAGCTCCTCCAAAAAAATAATTAAATGATCTTATCAGAAACAAATAAAATTATTTTGAATTAAAAATTATTAAATTACGAGTATAAATATGTTAAAAAACGAAGACTACGTAAAAAAATTTAACAAAAAACTATGAGGGTAAGAGGAGAGAGGTCTTTACTTAACGTGACACAATGTGATACTGACATATATAAAATTGCAAAAATTGCGTGACAAGGGGGAGGGTGGATATAAAATATGAAAAAATTGCGTGACGTCAAATGTGAACGTTTCCTAATATTAAGGTGGTTCTCCGGCTAATCAATTTTCTATGAATTTTTCTTAAACTTTGCAAAAATATTCCTTTTTGTGTACTTTATAAGTGGTAAAAAACTCAGTGCCTCTATCCATGGTAGAAACTGAGATATTCGGGTTCAATGTTGGAACAATTAACATAGGATTCCTATCCTAAACATGCAACAGTGATACATTTAATTTAATTTCTTAAAAAGTTTTCTATCGATTTTTTTTAAAAACTATAGTATATTGTAGAATGGAATTAATAGAATAATATAAAAAAATTTAATAGGGGTATCCATGCTAATTTTTTTGAATTACAACGTTTTAAAATAGAAAAGTTAGGTTATTTATACATTTTTCAAGAGAGTCAAGTATATTACTCGCTTGAGAATGAGAGAGAAAGCACGAAAGTGAAGTGAGCTGTTGATTAGTATAAACTACTCGCAAGGGACTGAGCACCACTGGAGCCGGAGAACCTCCTTAAGGGGATAGTTCAATAATAATTTTACTTTTAAAAAACTAACCTTACAAATTTTGCTTTACTCTCTAAATTTGAATTAGCGAAAATTTCACTGTTTGAATCAGCGAATAAAGTTTTCACTGCAAATCAGCGGTTACAGCTAATAAAATAGCAAAACACGAATCGGCGAACGTCGGTCATTTTCGTCGGAAGATAAATTTATTTTAAAATGGAGTATTCCGCTGATTGAAATAGTTGTTAGTCGCTGATTCGCAGCTGCATACTTATAGCTTTTTCAATCAGCGACTATTCGCTGCCAATCAGCGGATTTTAGCTGATTCAAATTTAGAGAGTATTGATTACAAATTATATAAATATGAAGAAATTGTTAAATAATTATATTTTTAACGTAACATTTTTTGTACATTAAATCTAAATAATAAAATTTACGATAATATTCATATATATAATGCTACTTAAATATTAGTTTAAATATTGTTTATTTTATTAATGGTGTTCCGCAATGGCAAGCAGTGGTTGTCTTTCCAAAATTGGCTCCTCGTAGATGCATTTAATTTACAAAAAATTTTTCTCTCAACTCGTATAGAAACGGAAAAATCGAAAAAAATACCAATTATCCTGAAATGTTGTACTTTCATTTACGCACAAGAAATTGAGAATTCATTACGATAAACGACTTCAGGAAGTAAGTAAAATAAGAAATTTTTTGTAGCCGTCAGGTGCTGCCCCAGACGGTAAATTTCAGTACTACGGAAATGTTTATACTCTTCCTATTTTACTTCCTGTCGTTTATATGTGAATAAATTTTTATTTTCTTGGACACGGTTAAAGGGTGTCGTTCGCAATGTTTTCATACCATACATTTTTAAATTAGTATTATAATCGCTTATCAAAATGTTTAATTTTAAATTTATATATTAAAACATTTAAACTCGAATCTTTTATTTGAAAATTTATTTTATAATGAAATTTTTAATAATAAATTTCGATAAAATGTCATTAAAAATTTTTAATTTTTCTCAGGGTATCAGTTAATGTATCTGTTACACTATTATAAGTTTCTAAAATATTTATATTATCTAATTATTTATGTTATTTAACTGTAAACATAATGTAATATGCAATTCATTATTTATTTATATATTTAGCAATATTTACACTGAAAAAAGGGTTTGGTATTGACAACCAAACGTTTGGTTGGTATTTAAGGCCAGGTCCAAGTCGAGTCAGCTGTTCCTTTGAAGTTTCAATGGAACAGCTGACACGACTTGGACCTGGCCTTAAGCAACCAAAATTTTTTTGTTGAATCAACAAAATTTTAATTGTCTCAATCAAAATTTGTTGGACACAATCAAAATTAGAAAAAAAGGATTTTTGTTGTCCTAACTAAAGTTTGATTGGGACAACCAAAATTTTGTTGATTCAACAAAAAAAATTTGGTTGCTAAAATACCAACCGAACGTTTGGTTGTCAATACCAAACCATTTTTTCAGTGTATATGTAACGGTGACGTTACATATTACTATTTCTTTGTTAAAAGTATTAAAACTTTATCGACTAATTATATAAAAATTATTTTTGTCACGTGTTAACTTTAATTAACAATTATTATTTCAAGAAAAATTTAAGTGTGACTGTAAGCATTATCTATAAAACAGGTTTCTTTGGTGTCTTTGGGTAGGAGAAGGAAATATAACTTGAACTATATACACGTATCAATATTAACATTATTTTTCACTTAAAAATATAGAATATTTTAAAGTGATTTTAAAGAAATGACCATATTAAAATTTTAAACTAAAGGTCTGTCAGTGAAGTAGCAAATAAGTTCTATTTGTTTGTAAAAAGTATTAAAATTACACTTATAAAAATATATTGTAGATAATCAGAGGGAAATAAATTTTCTAAATAGGAAATTAGTATCGACTTCGAATTCGTTTAAACTATTTACTTATATCTTCATTGGTCATCTCTCATTGCTGATTAAAAAACTTGGTGAGTCTAAATGATTACATTAGTACATTACTATACGTCACGTGGTAATAACCTAAATTCACAATTATAACCAAGATAGCTCCAAGCATATACACTGACAATGTGAGACTTTGTGTTTTAAGGTTATGTGATTGTTCAATTTCACTTGTAAATATTCTTCGCAGGTGTTTTAGCAAAATATTTGATAGATTAAGCTCAAATTTTGTGATGAACTAGAAAATAGTATATAAGAAATCGCTGTTATGTTATTGCCATATTAAATTTTCCTCAAAAATAAAATTCTTTAAAACTAATTTTTTTTTATAAAATTATTAATAATCTGTCACATAACAACGATTTCTTATATACTATTTTTAAGTTTTTTTTTTACAAAATTTTAACCTAATCTATCAAATATTTTACGAGAAAACCTGCAGAGAATATTTACATATCACAACAATAGCATGACCTTACCCAACCAAAAATTTCAGTATTATACCAGAGTTGACTACTGGCGCAGTACTGGTATTTTCATTGTATCAGTACTGGTGCAGTACCACCCTTCCAGTACTGGCAAACCAGTACTGAGCCGATATTGAGCCAGTACTGGCTCAAATAGATTTTCTTTTTGATTAATACTAGTTTACAAAAAGTTCTAGAACTTTGCTTTTCTGTGGGTAAAATTATTTAAACAAAAACAAATTAATTAAATACAATCGCAAGTAAAATTGCACAAATGTTATATTATCAATAATATAAAATATACAATTAACCTTTCTTAATAGAAATTATAAAAAATAGTAAGACCTACAAACTTATATATTTCAATGATCAATAAAATTATTGTAATTTGTTTCTGGATGTTATTCTTCAGTTTTTTTCCAAAAGTGAATTATAAACAAAAATTTAATGTTAATTTAAAAATAATTTAGATAATTTTTTTAATAATTACCTAATTTCAGGAATTTAGTATTCATTATTTATTAAATCATTATATTTGTGATGAGTTAATTTGTAAACTAATTTTATTTTATGTAAATTGAATTGAATTCAATGTTAATTTATTTATATTTGATATAATAATTAATATTAATTAAAGTGAATAATAAAATAATTAAATAGTTAGGTAATTGCATAATTTTTTTTTTATATTTATATTTATTTATTTATTTTTTATTTATATTTATTTTTTGATTTTTTAAATAATAATTTGTAATATATATTATAAGAAGGAATGAAAATTCTTGGTGTTTTCGATTTTATATAATAAAATATTAATTAGTTAGTTGACTAATTTAATTATAATATTTAATTTGTGTTAGGTTACTAAAAATTTCAGACACTTTTTCCTAAGTATACCAAAAAAGTACTTCGCCAGTACTGAACCAGTAGTGGTTACCAATACTGGTGCCAACTCTGGCGCCAATACCGGGTGCCAGTACTGCGCCAGTACTGGGCCATTAGTAAAATTTTTATTTAACTTTTTATACCAAAGTTTAAAATACACCAAGAGAATAGATTTCTTTGATTTACAGAAACCAATTTCTTTGACTTGTTTTCTTTGGTTCAAAATAAAATTTTCTTTAAAACAAAAAAAACTTCTTTGTTTCAAAGAACATTTCTTTGATTAAAATAAATAAAATATAATAATTTTTACAGGATATTTTGTGTGTGATATAAAATAATAAAATTATTTATCCAGAATATTCTGAAAAAATTGTTTTCAAAGTATATAGTCGTTTCACTATTAATTCTATTAGAAAGAAGAACGAGAATACAATAATTGCAGTTTATTCACATTATATATTAGTACTCATAGAATTTAAAAAAAAAAGTTCCAAAGCAATGAATCAAAAATGAAAATCTTGTTTTTTCAAAATTGGTTTTCAAACCTTGGCGGAAGGTTTATTAAAGGAGAAGTTAATGAACAATCACCAAGTGAAGGAAGTCGAACTCAACAGTATTTTACAGCAGCTTGTGGTATGATTTTTTGAAAAATATTTATCTTAAAATTGTTTTTTTACAAAAAAAATGAATAAATTTTGCACTGTTCTTTGCTTTTAGATCAATTTTTTGTTTGCATTTCGAAATATTTTATTTTTGAATCTAAATAAATAAAGATCCACAATGTTAATTTTATTTGTTATTATTACTGTTATTTGTACAAAAATGTGATTTAAGTTTCTAGTTCAAAATCACGGCTGTGCAATTATGTAATTCCATTCATAATTCCACTTTGACTTTTAATTTTACTTTCATTTATACCTACTTTTTGGACTTTTAGGGCCAGTAGACAATCTGAAACTGAAAGTGAAAATGAAAGTCAAAGTCAAGTCAGTGAAAGTCAAACCTTAGCAAATAGCAGCAACAAATTTTAGGTTATGTTTAGCCCTTAACTGGCACCATGGGTCCAGTAGACCCGAGCATTTTTTCGAGCTCAAATTAATTGAATGTCTATTTTTTGAATATTTTTTATATTTAAATATATTAATTTGACATATTCTTAGTAATTTTGTAAGTTTTTTGATACAACTAATTCGATACACAAAAGAATAAATTAGCTTCAATCATTAATAATTATCCCAGTAAAAAAAAAAGTATAGACAGTAAGGAAAAAGTATAGACTCATAGCTTAGTGGCTATACCGTTCGGCATGTAATGACGGTATAGAGACGTTACGGTGTATACTTTTTTCTTACCGTGAATACGGTTCACCTGGATTGTTTGAATTGATGTGTATTAACGCGATTTGACATTGTCAATGAAAAAGCCGATTGTTTTGAAGTGTAATAATGCCGATTACGAGGAGGAGCGACGAAATTTTATCTAAAAGTTAAAAAGGTAAATGTGACAGGCACGAGACCTGCGAGAGTTGTTACCACTGGATTGAGAAAATGCACCATTACTGACAAAAAGTATTCGACAGAAACTTACCGACAGAAAGTTACTAGGAAGAGCGGCAAATTCAAATGGTCAAATTAAATTCGAATGAATATATACATAATTTAATGTAGTTTTTTTATTTTAAATCAAGTATAGTATTTTAAATAATTAAATACCGATATTAAATAATTAATGTTTATTATAAAAATTGACATATAGACATGAAAATTTTTTCATTTTTAGCATTTAAATCTGTGAAATAATGAAATATTGTAATTTTATTTTTTAATTACAAAAAATTATTATTTTTTATTAATTATTAATAATTAAATTTTTTCATAAAAATAAAAATGTACTGCAAAGAATATGTTTTATGCATTGAAAAATAAAAATTTGTTAAAATATATTATTTCTATATTTTGTAAATAAAGTTATTTATTAAAATAATTTTTTTATTTATAAAATTGAAATAGATTAAAAAATTAATGTTTTAAATTAAAAATTTTTTATTTGAATTAATATATGTAATTAACTATTATGAAAATTAATTAGTCGTTAAAATTTTTTTTTTTTTAATAATAACTAATCTTTTTTTACCTATAAACAAATTTAATTTTATTTTGAACAAAATTATATTTTTAATGATAAAAACTTTGTTATTTTACATAGAGACGAATAATATTATACTTTTTTTATTTGTGAGTGAGAAGTGACCAAAACCAAATAATTGTAAATCATCGTAAAAATATTTTAAAAGGGATAGAAACAAAACAATACATTTTAAAATTATACAACACAAGAATACTCGCAAATGCGATTGTAAAACGAAAAGTACGAAAGTAATATAATTTTAGGTTTATTACGTCCTGCAGCCGTTAGGTGGCAGAAGCATGCAGGGAGCACAATGTCGCAGCTGTCATTATATTACTTTCGTACTTTTCGTTTTACAATCGCATTTTTGTATAGATTTGCACAATCTTTCGGATTTAAGAAATTTATAAGATAAGGATCCTTGGTATTTTTTCCGATTTTGAAAAAAGTGTCCGCGTGTTGAGAAAAAAGTATTTTAAACTCAATGTTTATCATTTTCACGTTCAGTGCCGTTTTTATAGGGCGATTATTGAATGCCAAAGAATTTCAGAGACCGTTCGACAGTCTTAAACGATATTTTTTTATTTGTGAATTTCTTTTATATTTAAACGCATTCTTTTATCCTACAATAATTTTTAATGCTTATAATTTGTTTCATACGCGTATATACGATTTGCGAGTATTCTTGTGTTGTATAATTTTAAAATGTATTGTTTTGTTTCTATCCCTTTTAAAATATTTTTACGATGATTTACAATTATTTGGTTTTGGTCACTTCTCACTCACAAATAAAAAAAGTATAATATTATTCGTCTCTATGTAAAATAACAAAGTTTTTATCATTAAAAATATAATTTTGTTCAAAATAAAATTAAATTTGTTTATAGGTAAAAAAAGATTAGTTATTATTAAAAAAAAAAAAATTTTAACGACTAATTAATTTTCATAATAGTTAATTACATATATTAATTCAAATAAAAAATTTTTAATTTAAAACATTAATTTTTTAATCTATTTCAATTTTATAAATAAAAAAATTATTTTAATAAATAACTTTATTTACAAAATATAGAAATAATATATTTTAACAAATTTTTATTTTTCAATGCATAAAACATATTCTTTGCAGTACATTTTTATTTTTATGAAAAAATTTAATTATTAATAATTAATAAAAAATAATAATTTTTTGTAATTAAAAAATAAAATTACAATATTTCATTATTTCACAGATTTAAATGCTAAAAATGAAAAAATTTTCATGTCTATATGTCAATTTTTATAATAAACATTAATTATTTAATATCGGTATTTAATTATTTAAAATACTATACTTGATTTAAAATAAAAAAACTACATTAAATTATGTATATATTCATTCGAATTTAATTTGACCATTTGAATTTGCCGCTCTTCCTAGTAACTTTCTGTCGGTAAGTTTCTGTCGAATACTTTTTGTCAGTAATGATGCATTTTCTCAATCCAGTGGTAACAACTCTCGCAGGTCTCGTGCCTGTCACATTTACCTTTTTAACTTTTAGATAAAATTTCGTCGCTCCTCCTCGTAATCGGCATTATTACACTTCAAAACAATCGGCTTTTTCATTGACAATGTCAAATCGCGTTAATACACATCAATTCAAACAATCCAGGTGAACCGTATTCACGGTAAGAAAAAAGTATACACCGTAACGTCTCTATACCGTCATTACATGCCGAACGGTATAGCCACTAAGCTATGAGTCTATACTTTTTCCTTACTGTCTATACTTTTTTTTTTACTGGGATAAATTTTTAATTTTAACCTAAAAAGTCACATTTTATTCTGCAAAATAAATACCTTTTTTGCAAGTCCTATTATTGTAGTAATTTTTTCCTTAAGGGTATGTGGGCAAAGAACGTTTTTTTATGGTTTGAAACTTACTCTGAAATAAAAAATGATTTTGGGTTAAAATTTTGGAGAAATGATTTTGTTCGGTACAAGGAATTTCGCTGTTCTACTCATTTACCATAACTTAACGCGAAAATAATAAAAATAAAGCAATAAATAGTAAAATATTGTGTTTTATCATAGTTCATTCAGTGGCCACTTGCTCGAATTGGCGCTGTTTACTGGAGCACTGACACACTCAAGCAACGTCTGTGTATGCGCCGCCATCTTTGTTTTCATTTTCGTTTAAAAATACCACTTTTTAAACTTCATTTTTTTAATAATTTTACTCAAAATTATGTGTTTTTCGGAGAACAGCGAGATTCCTTGTACCCAAATCTATCATCACTCAAAATTTTAGACAAAAATCTTTTCTCGTTTTAGAGTGAAACGTATACTACCAAAACACATTTTCCCATACTAGGTCACGTAGGAGGTTCCCACATACTCTTAAAGAATAATACATCAAGAGTATAACCTTAAATTTTTAAGTCATAATATTAAGATTTAAATAACTCATGAATTTTTAAGTAAAAACATGTAATTTTTCGTTTTTATTTTTCACAATTTTTTTCAACTAACTTAAAATGAATTAATTCTTGTAAAACTAATTAAATTTTTAAAAAAACACATCATAAGCTACCTCAGATTACATTTTTGTGCAAAAATATTCAATACCGGCTGTACAATACACGTTTGAATACATCGGGTCCAGCAGACCCGTTATGTCATTTACCACGAAGTATTATAAGGAGCACTCACTCCACTTTAGCAGATAGCCACGGTTTCGCCAAATCAATTAGAGAAATGTCCCATAACGATTAGGACGCCTCTACAGGAAAAGCTATGTACTTTATAGTTTTTCACAATATGTCTGCGCCTAATATCGTCTGCTACTGCTCGTAAATAAAGACTGTTGACTTTGTGAAATGATGATTTTTATTGAGTTTAATATGATAAATAAATGAAATAAATAAATAAAAAAGTGCACATATAAAAAAATAACAATTTGTGGAAAGAATTTTGTGAAAACATAAACGTGATAAGTTGGAATTGATTTATGTCTTATTTTTATGTGTTTTCCATTACTTGTCAAGATTAAATAAAAGTGTATATTCTGCAATTTATGAATTTTGTTTAAATTTATAGATTTCCATGTGTATAAAAAAATTATTTATATAATTTACATTTTTACATCTCATGTATTTATAAAAATTCTATTACAATTTTTAGGTTATATCACCATCTGTCACTCATCTGTACACAGAAAATAATGGAAAATTCGATGAATATAGTTTGTCCATTCAAATATTTACAAAACAACTTGTTTAAACTAATCAAAATTAAATTTCAAAACCGTCCCGCACTAAATACTGCTGCTGAATACAGTGTAAACAAACAACAAACATTCAAGCATAGCAGACGATAAAATCACGTGACCTGTAGTAATTAATTTTCCCGCTAGGGTTGTTAGTATCGTTATGGGACATTTCATTAATTGAATCGGAAAAACATGTGACCAGAATTTTCCGAAACGGCCAGTAGAGTGAGTGCTCCTTATAATACTTCGTGTCATTTACGTTTGAACGCGGAATTATGCTATAGTTAATGGTTAGTGATAGTTTTACCCAGACTAAAACGTTTATTATTAATTATGTAAAATCAAAATCTTTTATTGATCACCTTGGATCTAATGAAGACTTAAACATCAGTGGTTTGTATTAACCCACACAGCACCCAAAATTCCCTAAAACTTGACAGAACCTCACTCGGCGAGGTTAGGAAACTTCAGTGGCAAGGTTCATACAAGTTTGTGTCGATGTTTAAATGTCCACATGAAAAGAATATTTACACGAAACTTTGAGGGAATATTACACTATAAATATTCACGTGCAATGTTCAGTCAATGTTGTGTCAATATTCACCTATATTTATTATATTAGTAAACGAAATTTTTATAACTAGGCGAAGATGTAATGTCAATATTGACACAACTTTGACTAAACATTGCACGTGAATGTTTATAGTATAATATTTCCTCAAAGTTTCGTGAAAATATTCATTTCATGTGGACATTTAAACATCGACACAAACTTGTATGAACCTTGCCACTGAAGTTTCCTAACCTCGCCGTGTGAGGTTCTGTCAAGTTTCATGGAATTTTGGGTGCTGTGTGGGAAGAGTTGATGCTTTTTGTGTATTTTCACTTCAAAAGTCAAAAAACATAATCTAAAATTTGATCTTGAGAATGTGTAAAAGAAATATTTTGGAAGAATCAACCCTATATAATCGAATTCAATTAATTATTTTTCATCTATTCAAATAATTAAAAACATTGTAAAAATTTTAATTTTTGTTTACTTTACTTATAGCGTGTACCATAATAGCAGCTTCCGGATCATATCAAGTATGGTCGTCGCCATCTATTCCTCACTTGACAAGCAAGAAGTTCAAATTTTCTGTAACAGAACAACAAATTATTTGGATAGTATCATTATACAATGTTGGTGATATTTTTGGAGCATTTCTAAATCCTTTATTCATTGATCGCATTGGACGCAAAAACACTTTATTTCTTTTTTCTCTACCAAGCTTAATTGGATGGGGATTAATAATTTTTGCACAAAACTATATTTACCTTTGCATTGCGAGATTTATTGGAGGAATTAGTCAAGCAAGTGCCTTTAATTCTTTATCAATCTATCTAACAGAAATTTCTGACAAAAATGTCCGTGGAATGCTGGTTAATATGATGCAAATATCACTCTATATCGGCGTCTTCACCTTCACAACAATTGGAGCATTTGCATCTTATGAAACTTTAAACATTTCCTCTGCCTCAATATTGATTATATTCATTCTTATAATTTCATTTTTACCCGAAACGCCTTATTATTATCTTTTACAAGGAAGAAGAGCTGATGCTATGAAATGCTTGATGAAACTAAGGGGAATAAGTTCATCAGACAAATTGGAACCTGAAATAAGTGAAATGGAATTAGTAATTGAAGAAGATAAAAAAAATACAAAAACATTTGCATTCTTGGAATTATTCACGAAAAGTTACAATCGAAAAGGATTGATAATCATGTTCTTTATGAGAGCAACCATGATGCTTTCAGGTATTGTTGCTATTATTGCTTATGCTGAAGATATTTTTAGTCAAAGTAGTCTTCCAATTAAAACAGGTATTCAAGTGATTATTTTTAACGGAATAGGATTGCCAGCAAGTTTATGTACCGGCTTTTTTATAGATAAAATTAACAGAAGATTATTGTTTTCCACAACTGCTATGTTGGGTTCATTTTGTCTAGGTAGTGTTGGTCTCTTTTTCTTTCTAAAGTATTATCTTAGGACAGAAACTTCTTCAATTGCATGGTTACCAGTTGTAGCATTAACATTACTTCAAATATTTTTTATTTCTGGATTTGGAATAATTCCCCATATTTCTATTGGCGAATTTTTTTCAATGAAAGTGAAAGGTAGTGCAGTTTGCTTGGGTAGAATTCTCATATCCGTTATTAATTTTGCCACTACTGCCGGATATAAACCATTGAGCAATAGTTTTGGAATCTACACGACTTTTTGGATTTTTGCTTCTCTTACTTTTGTTGGATCTTTGGTGACTTATTGGATCACACCAAATACAACAGGAATGACATTGGAGGAAATTCAAGCTATGCAAAATCCAGCACTAGAGAATAAGCTAAATTTAAAACATAGATTAGAAGGAAGTAAAAATTTTTAAATACTCTTCATGTAAACCTGAGTCTCCATTAAACGTTTTTGTACCATCTGGATAAAATTATTTTTCATCTTTTTATATTTTTTTTACATCTTTTTGAAACGTCACCTATAAATGTTTGTTTATTTCTGTAAAATTATTCGAAAATATTTTAGGCTTCATTTAAAACTTAATTGCAAAAGTAAATGCCCTAGTTACCGCCACTTTTGCTTCAGTAATTGTCACACGCAAGTAATTTGAAAATTTATAGCAATTTATTGAAAAAGTAAATTATAACACTTATTACACAATTATAATTATTACAATTATTAATAAATAATTTTTGAAGCCTTTGTCAGAAATACTGTTGATTTAATAGCATATTTTTTCAGTGTATAATAAATTATTTGTATAAAAATAATATTATTTAAAAATTGAAAAAAAAATAATATTTATTTCTTTTTGAAAATATTTTTTGTAATTTTCAACCAAACTTACGGTAACTAAGGCATTGACAAAGACTGGGGCATTTGCCTTATTGTATTTAACAAACATAAAGATAATTTTAATTATACTTACAATATTGTTGTATACTTCCTTACATTGTTAAATAACTAAAAACTATCGGATAGAATATACCTGTTTTTTTTATTGAAGTAAATCTTCATGCAAACCATTAGTTATTATACTAATAATAATAATAATAATAATATTAATAATAATAATAATAATAATAATAATAATAATAATTGAGAAATAAGAAAAAATGAATAAAATTTTAAGAATTCATTATTAAAATGTGGTAAAAATGAAAAAATTTTATTTCGGAAGTTATGATATTTCTCATCAAAGGCAATATTCTAATGAGAGAGTCAATGAAGATACGGAAAATGAAGGAAGTCGCACCAAGCAATACATTGCAGCAGTTTGTGGTATGTTTCATTTTTAATAATTTATTTTTGAAACTACAATGGGACGCGTGAATAAGTTCTAAAAAAAAATCTTTAGAATTATGATTTGATAGAATCTTATTATATAGAATACATATTAATTTTGTAGAAAATTAAAATGGTCGAATATCAATATTTGTCAGAAATAATTCGTCGGAAACTTCAAACTTGACCACAATCACAATTTTCTTGATAATTTCTGATTGGTCAAATTTGAAGTTTACGCCGAATTATTTCTGACAAATATTGATATTCGACCATTTTAATTTTCTGGACATTAATATTCGAACAAATAAATATTCTGCAAAATGCATATTCTACAGAATAAAATACTATCAAATCATAATTCTAGAAAAATTTTTTTTTTTGAGTTTATTCATGCGTCCCACTGCAATGAATATTATCACGTTTAGAATAATGTATTAAAAAATGTAGGAAGAAATTTTAATATCAAATGGAATTAGATTTTATGATTTTTATTTTAAGAGCACGTTTTACATGTAAATTTTTTTAACTCTTAAAAATCTGTTATGATGGGGTAAAATGCGCTTCGGATTTTGTTTTAGATACCTCAAAAACAAAATGTAAAAATATCCCTAGTCCACTTAGACCAAAATTATTATTTTATTTTATTTTTGGTTACTCTAAAGAATTTTTAAAGTTATATCAAAATCCTGACGTTATAGGGTAAACTGGACTTAAAATTCGGTTTGAGCGACCGTAAACTTTTGTTTAAAAAATATTTTATACATTAATTTTTTATTTCACTTTAACCGGTTTTATTTTTCTAATAATAATAATAATTATTATTAAAACGATAAACATTAAAATTACCTTTACAGGTGCACAAGATAAAGTGAATAATTATTGTTGGAATTTAAAAAAAAAAGCTAGAAAAGAATGCATAATTTAAAAATTATCCTCTAAAATGGACTTATAAATTAAAATTTTTTAAAAAACAAAGAGCCTCGGCAAAAAGTGCCCCTTTTTCGTACCTCGAATTTTGAAACTTTTTTTATGCCAAATGGTTACATATGATGACCCAATAACCCCTGCAAAATTTCAAGATGAGCATGTGCCCCCTTTCCGAAATACAGGGGGTCAAAGGGGGCCATGTCCAAAATTTGAATATGCAATATAATCGAATAATAATGTTAAAAAAAATCAGACCAAATGGTTCACTTAAGATTTTCGTCTGCTGATTACGAATCTAAAGTCCGTTTTTGAAAATTCAAAATGGCGAATCCAATATGGCGGACGACATTTTTAAAAATCGATCCAATTGACGTAAAAATCGTTACTCGGGGGTTTTTGGGGTCTCTGATTACGAATATGATGTCCGATTTTAAAAATTCAAAATGGCGGATCCAATATGGCGGACGACATTTTTGAAAATCGATGCAATTGACTTGAAAATCGTTACTCGGTGTTTTTTGGAGTCTCTGATTACGAATATGATGTCAGTTATCAAAAATTCAAAATGGCGGATCCAATATGGCGGACGACATTTTTGAAAATCGATCCAATTGACTTGAAAATCGTTACTCAGGGGTTTTTGGGGTCTCTCATTACGAATATGATGTCCGTTTTTAAAAATTCAAAATGGCGGATCCAATATGGCGGACGACATTTTTGAAAATCGATCCAATTGACGTGAAAATCGTTACTCAGGGGATTTGGGGGTCTCTGATTACGAATATGATGTCCGTTTTTAAAAATTCAAAATGGCGGATCCAATATGGCGGACGACATTTTTGAAAATCGATCCAATTGACGTGAAAATCGTTACTCAGGGGTTTTTGGGGTCTCTGATTACGAATATGATGTCCGTTTTTAAAAATTCAAAATGGCGGATCCAATATGGCGGACGACATTTTTGAAAATCGATTTCAAGTCAATTGGATCGATTTTCAAAAATGTCGTCCGCCATATTGGATCCGCCATTTTGAATTTTTGATAACTGACATCATATTCGTAATAAGCGACTCCAAAAACCCCCGAGTAACGATTTTCAAGTCAATTGGATCGATTTTCAAAAATGTCGTCCGCCATATTGGATCCGCCATTTTGAATTTTTAAAAACGGACATCATATTCGTAATCAGAGACCCCAAAAACCCCCGAGTAACGATTTTTACGTCAATTGGATCGATTTTTAAAAATGTCGTCCGCCATATTGGATTCGCCATTTTGAATTTTCAAAAACGGACTTTAGATTCGTAATCAGCAGACGAAAATCTTAAGTGAACCATTTGGTCTGATTTTTTTTAACATTATTATTCGATTATATTGCATATTCAAATGTTCATATGTTCATATGTAACCATTTGGCATAAAAAAAGTTTCAAAATTCGAGGTACGAAAAAGGGGCATTTTTTGCATGGGGCTTGCCGAGGCTCTTTAATTTTCTTTAATAAAGCATTCTTAACAAACTAAAATCATATTTTTAACTAAACTATTTTTGCAGCAAGCATAACGATAATAGTATGTGGAGCTGGTCAAACATGGTCATCACCGGCGATACCACATCTGACAAGAGAACATTCTTTGTTTTTAGTAACTGATGCACAAGCTATTTGGATCGTTTCACTGTACAATGTTGGTGATCTTATTGGAGCCCTTTTAAATCCATTGTTTATTGATCGAATTGGACGTAAATACACCTTACTACTTTCTGCCCTACCATGTCTAATTGGATGGTGTCTTATAATTTTTGCTCAAAATTATATTCACCTCTATATAGCAAGACTTATTACCGGTATCAGTCAAGGAAGTAGTCTCAATTGTCTCATTATATATTTAACAGAAATTTCCGACAAAAATGTCCGTGGAATGCTAGTTAATATGATACAAATATCATTTCATATTGGTCTCTTTATCTTTACAGCAATTGGAGCTTTTGCATCGTATAAAATTTTAAACATTTTCTCTATTTCAATATTGATTATTTTTCTTATGATACTTCCGTCATTGCCAGAAACGCCCTATTTTTATCTTTTGAAAGGCAAGAAAACCGATGCTATGAAGTGCTTGATGAAATTAAGGGGAATAAATTCATCAAACAAATTAGAACCTGAAATACGTGAAATGGAATTAGTAATTGAGGAAGATAAAAAAAATACAAAAACATTTGCATTCTTCGAATTATTCACGAAAAGTTACAATCGAAAAGGATTGATTATCATGTTCTTTATGAGAGCAACAATGATGTTATCAGGTTATGTCTGTATTGTTGCTTATTCTGAGGATATTCTCAGTCAAAATAGTCTTCCAATTAAAGCAGGTGTTCAAGTGATGATTGTAAATGGAATAGGATTTCCAGCATCTTTATGTACCGCATTATTTATTGACAAAATTAACAGAAGAATTTTGTTTTCCACAACTGCTATGTTGGGTTCATTTTGTCTATGTAGTGTTGGTCTCTTTTTCTTTCTAAAATATTATCTGAAGACAGATACTTTTTCAATTGAATGGTTACCAGTTGTAGCATTAACATTATTTCAAATATTTTTTATTTTTGGATTTGGCATAATTCCTCATATTACTATTGGCGAATTGTTTTCAATAAAAGTGAAAAGCAGTGCAGTTTGCTTGGGTAGAATTTTCGTAACCATGATTAATTTTGGTACTACTGCCGGATATAAACCATTGAACAATAGTTTTGGAATCTACACGACATTTTGGATTTTTGCTTTTTTTACTTTTTTTGGATCTTTGGTGACTTATTGGATCACACCAAATACAACAGGAATGACATTGGAGGAAATTCAAGCTATGCAAAATCCAGAACTAGAGAAAAAGCTGAATTCAAAACGCAGATCTGAAAGAAGTAGAAATATTTAAATATTTTTCATTTAAACTAGTTTTAATGAATTGCCCTTAACAAGTGAAGAAATTGGGTAATGGAGTGAATGAAAGGAGTGTGTTTGGAAAAAAATACGAGTGTGAGAGACAAAATCACGAAGTAGTATGAGAAGACGTGACTCAATGTATCGAATGTTCAGTCGTGCTCCGAAGTAAGCTACCTAAGATGCCAAAAATGTTAGGGGTATGTTTTGAAATTTTTTAGTAAAAACACACGAAGTGGATCAATTTTCAATATAAATCATTGTCTCTATCTTATTTGGGAGAGGCATGTATATGCACTTAAGCTAATTTTTTAGAATTATGTTTTAATCGAATTTTATTCTATAGAATACATATTATTTTTGCAGAATCTTAATTTTGTAGAACAGTTATGCGCAAAATAATCTTAATTATGCAGAAAGAAATGGTCGAAAATCAATTTGACAGAAATAATTTGGTGCACTGAGAAAAATGTTTAGTCAGAGCAACCAAAATTTGGTTGGCCCAACAAAAAAGTTTTGTTGGTATTTAAGCAACCAAACTATTTGATTGAATCAACCAAAAATTTGGTTGAATGTTTTTTGTTGGCATAACAAAAATATTTGGTTAGCTCAACCAAATTTTTTTTGTTAGGTCAACAAAAATGTTTGGTTGATCAAACAAACAATTTTTTTTGTAAAATTAAAAATTTTATTTTATTTGAAATATTTGTGGACTTTGAAAAATCTCATCTCCACCTGGGATCGAACCTCTGTTTTAAAACTGAAGGTCGGAAACTCTGGCCATTGGACTACCTATCCTTGTGAGAGATTTAAACTAACTGTTCTCTTAAGCTATGAGCTGAGAACGAATAAAATTATTTGGTTGTCGCAACCAAATTTTGGTTAGGACAACAAACGATCATTTGGTTTTTTAGACCAAACTATTTTGTCGTGTTAACCAAATTATTTTGTTGTCGTAACCAAATTTTGGTTGGAATTTAAAAATGTTCAACCAAATAATTTTGTTAGCCTAACCAAATGTTTGGTTGAGATAACTCTACGACTTTATTTCAGTCAACCAAAATTTGGGTACAAGAACTAAAATTGCCTAACCAAACAATTTTGTTGCAAACACTAAATTTTTTTTCTCAGTGTGCGAAATTTAAAACTGACTAATCTGAAATTATTACAAAAATTATGGTTGGTTAATTTTAAACTTCGCGCCAAATTATTATATTAAGTTAAATTAATATTATTTTTAATCTTCTTTCTCCATAATTAAAATTCTTTTGCATTATTGTTCTGCAAAATGAATGTTCTACGAAACAACAATTCGCACAAATTGAGATTCGATTAAATTGAATTTCTGGCTAATTAATTTTTGTCTAATTAAAAATTCAGCAACATTGATAATAATCGGTTAATAATTTATTCTGTAAAATGAAAATTCGAACAAATAAAAATTCTTCAAAATTAAAATTCTGAACAATTATTTTTCTGCAAAATTAAGATTATAGTGCATATTTATGTGTCTCTTATTTGGTTTTTTTATAATAAAATAATAACCCAACCAAAAATTTCAGTATTATACCAGAGTTAACTACTGGCGCAGTACTGGTTCAGTATTGGCTGCCAAGGCTGGGCAGTCTGTACTGAACCAGTATTGGTATTTTCATTGTATCAGTACTGGTGCAGTACCACCCTCCCAGTACTGGCAAACCAGTACTGAGCCGATATTGAGCCAGTACTGGCTCAAATAGATTTTCTTTTTGATTAATACAAGTTTACAAAAAGTTCTAGAGTGAACCAAATGAATCTTTTTGTTTAAATATTTTGTTTATAAAAATGTTTTCACTTTGATTTTATTTTTGAAAATTAAAAGGTATTTTATTTTGCTTTTTTGTGGGTAAAATTATTTAAACAAAAAGTTTCCTGAGACTAATTCCAAAACATTTTGCAAGTTTTTTTTTTATTGTTTTCAGATATGCAATAAATCAAAAAAAATTTTAAACGATCAAACCAAAAAATTAATAAAATTTTTTATAAAAAAATTAATAATTTTTAAAATAAAAATTTTAAAAAATTTTCTTGACAACACTTGTTAAAAATTAAAAAACAACTTTTATTTTCTTAAAAAAGTTTTTCAAAAATTTATTTTGATGCAAATAATTAAAGTGAATAATAAAATAATTAAATAGCTAATTGTATAATTATATACATTATAATTATTTTATAAACATTTTTATTTTTACTGAACTGTTTTTATATATTATAAAAACTTTGGTTTTATATATAATAAAAACTTTGGTTTTATAATAAATATATTTTTATATTTATTTTTTGATTTTTTAAAATAATAATTTGCAATATATTTTATACTTAATAAAAAAATAAAAACTGTTGGTGTTTTCGATTTTATATATAATAAAATATTAATTATTTAGTTGACTAATTTAATTAATATTTAATTTGTGTTGGGTTACTAAAAATTTCACACACTTTTTCCTAAAAAAAAGTATTACCTGGAGCAGAGATTTCACTATTGCATGCGAAATTTATCTCTGTTACAGTTAAAGCTTTTTTTTCGTATACAATAAATTACAAAAGTACCAGTACTCAGCCAGTAATGAACCAGTACTGGTGCCAACTCTGGCAGTCAATACTGGTAAAATGTTATCATCCCAAAGTTACGCCAACTCTGGTGCCAATACTGGGTGCCAGTACTGCGCCAACATTTGTCAGTCCTGCGCCAGTACTGCGCCATTAGTACATTTTTGATTGGGAAGTAACAAACTATTTCAAACAAAGTAATAATTTGCCCTTTTTCAAAATTATATAGGTTCTACCTAAGTATTCATATAAAATTTATTTTCTCTTTGAGAAATTCATATATATATTAGGAGTCTTGAATCCTGCTTTATACATGAGCAGTAAATAAAGAATTATTTGTAAATATTTTAGGCAACATTTATTTAAAACTTGATTGTATAAGCAGCAGTAGGTAGTTTTAAAAGACCCGTTTCTTTAAAAATGTTAATATTATATTTAACGAACTTCAAGAAACAGGTATAGTTTTAATTATATTCTAAGTACAATTATGTGCGGTTTACTTCCTGATATTGTTAAATAACTAAAAACTATCGTATGTAATATATTATTTTCTTAATAAAAAAAAAAAATTCATGAAAACAATTAATAATTGAGAAATAAAAAGAAAATTAAATAAAATTTTAAGAATTCATTATTAAAATGTAAAAATGAAAAAATTTTATTTTGGAAGTTATGATATTTCTCGACAAAGGCAATATTCTAATGAAAGAATCAATGAAGATACAAAAAATGAAGGAAGTCGCACCAAGCAATACATTGCAGCAATTTGTGGTCTGTTTGATTTTTATTTATTTTTGAAACTGCATTTAATAACATGATGTTTATAGAATAATTTATTATAATATATAGTAAGAAAGTTTAATGTCTGGTGGAATTAGATTTTATAATTTTTGTTTTAAGAGCACAATTTATATGTAAATTTTCTTAATAATTGAAGGCAAAGTTTTGGAAAATCATAAAAATTTTTTAAAATGCTTTTTTTGGTCTCAAGGTCAGACCATGTCTACTATATATGTTTTTGGGTTCGCTGAAACTGAATCTGAAGTTCATTTTACTCAATTACGTCAGAATTTTGATATAACATAAACAAAACTTTTCAACCTCACAAAAATAATTTTCAAAATTCTCTCCTGAGGGGCAGACCACATTTCCTATTTGGTTTTTGGGGTCGCTCAAACCAAATCCGCAGTCCATTTTACTTCATCATGTTAAAGTATTTAATATAATAATAAAAAATAAGTAAAAATGCCATTCCCCATGCCAGAATTATTTTTTATTTGCTGTGTTCCTGTGAATACTTTTTGAGGTTATGTTAAAAATCTGACGTGATGGGAAATTAGGTTTAGTTTCAACGACTTCAAAAACATACAGTATACATAGTCTATCATTTCGGTGATATTATTTACTATTTTTTGTGCCACTGAGAAGTTTTTTTTTTTAAGTTTATACCAAAATCCTGACGTTATGGGGTAAAACACACTTCAGATTTGGTTTCAGCCAATTATAAAAATATAGTAAACATCGTTTGACCGAGTGTTAAATTCATCAATATATAAAATATTTGTTTATTTGTAGCAGTATAATTATTACAAGAAATTTTATGCAATTCATTTTTATTTTACTTTACCGGTTTTATTTTTCTAATATGTAATAATAATTAGAACGATAAACAGTAAAATTACCTATACAGGTGCACAAGATAAAAGTGAATAATTATTGTTGTAATGCACATAAAATAAAGGAAATAAATAAATTTTAAAAATATTATCCTCTAAATGGTCTGACAAACTAAAATTTTTCATGGAACAAATTTAAAGTTGTTCTAACAAACAAAAAATTCAACTTTTTAATTAAAATACTATTTTTGCAGCAAGCATCACGATAATAGCATGTGGAGCTAGTCAAATATGGTCATCATCGGGGATACCCTATCTAACAAGCAAACATTCTTTATTTCTTGTAACGGATGCACATGCTATTTGGATCGTTTCACTGTACAATGTTGGTGATCTTATTGGAGCCCTTCTAAATCCTTTAATCATTGATCGTATTGGACGTAAATACACCTTATTACTTTCTGCCCTACCAGGTCTAATTGGATGGTGTCTTATTATTTTTGCTAAAAATTATATACATCTCTATATAGCTAGACTTATTTCCGGTATCAGTCAAGGAAGTACTCTCAATTGTCTCATTATATATTTAACAGAAATTTCCGAAAGAAATATCCGTGGAAGACTAGTGAATATAATGCACATAGCATTGAATTTTGGTATTTTTATATTTACAATTGTTGCTGCTTTTACATCTTATCATATTTTCAATATTTCCGCTGCCTCGTTGATTATTTTTTTTCTTCTGTTATTTCAATTTGCACCGGAAACACCATATTATTATTTTTTACACGACAAAGATGACGATGCCATTAAGTGTTTAATGAAATTAAGAGGAATCACATCATCAGAGAAACTAGAAGGTGAAATAAGAGAAATAAAAATTGCAATAGAGGAGGATAGGAAAAATACAAAAACTATTGCATTCTTGGAATTGTTTAGTAAAAATTATAATCGAAAAGGTGTGATAATAATGTTTTGCATGAAAATGACGCAAATGCTGTCGGGCATTACACCTGTTCTTTATAACGCTGAAGAAATTCTTAGTCATAATAATCTACCTATTAAAGCTGGAGTTCAAGTTGTGATTTGGCAAAGTATATCATTACCAGCAGCCATATTAACTGGTTTTTTCATAGATAGATTTAGTAGAAAAATTCTTTTTCTAACATCGGGAATATTAACATCCATTTTTTTGACAATTATTGGCATTTTTTTCTTTATGATTGATTATCTTCATAGGGATGCAACATCCTATGCATGGTTACCACTTGTGTCAGTAACTACATATCAAATTGTGTATACATTGGGAATTGGTAGCATTCCTTATATTATTCAAGGTGAACTTTTTCCAATTAGAGTGAAAGGTAGTGCTGTTTGTTTGGGAAGAATTATTAGTGATACATTTGGATTTGTCACTTCTGCTGGATATAAACCATTGTGCAATGCATTCGGAGTATATACAACCTTTTGGTTTTTTGCACTAGCTACATTTGTCGGATCATTGATTTCATATTTAATTTCAACTGACACTGCAAGAATGACTTTAGAGGAGATTCAAGCAATACAGAATCCAGAATTAGGAAAGAAACTTGAATTGGAACGTGGAGTTCAACTTACAGAAAGTATTCGTAGAAGACGTTGTGCATAGTTTGTTATACGGAAAAAAATTTCGTGAGTACAGAAAATTCTGCACTATTACTGATCAACATATACGAAATTTACAGATTTCGAATGTAGAAACAAAATATTTTGTTTCTGTGAGTTGGCGTTGTTGGTTAAACGGAAATTTTTTTTTTAATCTAAGAGCAGATGAAAAGCAAATATAAATGTTATTTCGATTAAATGTAAATTATAAAAAAAAATTAATAAAGAAAACACATTTTTTATGTATTCCAGCTTTGTCAAATTTTTAGGTATAGATCTACGATAATGCAGATTTTACTGTTTAAATCAGTAATAATTCTAATAATTTTCAGTGAAATGTGACTGAATTTCAGTGAAAATATTACTGGATTGATTCAATTGCTAAATTCAAACTATCTCTTCAGTGAAATCTCACTGATTCAAATTTATAGGGTAATTGGTATTTAGTAATTGTGACGCGCTCCGAGGAAAGGTACCTAAGAAGCAAAAAATTGTAGGTTATGTTTGTGATTTTTAAGGGGAGGCACCAGCTTTATTTTGACCCCCTTAAATTTACATTATCAAAAAAGTTTATATTCTTCATTTTGCATCATTTTTCACCTAAAAACATATAGGGTGGTCAAAAAAAAAATTTTCTTATTTTTGAGCAGTTTGGAATTTTTATTTTTTCGAAATTTCAATATTTTTTCAAATCCATACGAGAAGTTGTTTGAAATTGGAAAATAAGCATAGAAAAAAATTGGCGTTAAAAAAAATTGAAATTTGTAAAACTAGATCCATTTTTTCGACTAAAATTTTTGAATTTTTACATTAAAAAGTCTCTAAATTGGTCAAAAAATTTTTATTATCAACCATAGTGCGAAAAGTTGTTTGAAATTGTAAAATGAACATAGAAAAAAATTGGTATCAAAAAAGATTGAAATTTGAAAAACTAGATCCATTTTTTCGACTAAAATTTTTGAATTTTTATATTAAAAAGTCTTTGAATTGGTCAGAAAAATTTATTGATTAGCTAAAATTCAATTTTACAACAAACATTATTCACAACAAACATAAATAGATTTGTACATTCATACATCCATACTTATAAACAATATTTCATTTAAAATCGAAGTCGATTTTGTGAATTTTGTCAACCCTACTCCTTAGTTATTCATCTTCTATATACAATCTCTGGCATCTCACGTACCAGTTAAGTAGCGATGTAACTATATAGTCATTTGATTTTATGTTCAGTTCTTAAATGTCTCTTAAAGTATCAGCAATGTGAACCTTTCTAAATAAAATATCTCTTTCGTTATACGTCTTGCATTGACATTGAACAACTGTGCATAATAAAATTTGAATTTTCATTTTGCTTTCTATATGTCCAAGTGATATGAGAGTTAAAGGATTGACTTTTGTCCGAAGAAATAGTTATAATATTAATAAAAGAACAAATAATGATCTAGAACAAAACGATCATGAAGAATCCAATAATGAAGGAAGCCGATTTTTACAATACTGTGCAGCAATTGCTGGTAATTATTTTTATTGCAAATCTTTTTCTTTAGAAAAAAAAGCATTTACCATCTTTCTAAAAGCATACAATAAGATTTTAAGGAAGTGTAATTAAAATTAAATAAAGCTGAATTAAATTAGTTATATTAATTGATGAATTATCCTACTAAATATCAGGTTTCTAAATTTATTAAAACTGTTATTATTTGCTGCCAGTAGTTATGTATTATAATTTTTTTATTAATTTAATGATTTTGTGAAAAATTTTCGATATTTTAATTGAAATTTCAAAACAATCTAGAGAGAAAACTTTCTTATTTTCTGTTAATTATATCACAACATAAAGGCAAATGTCATATGATATTACAAAAGTTGTTATAGAAATTTTTTTTTTAAATATTTACAGTCTTTTATTTTTTTAAACGAAAAAAATTATGATTTATCAAAAATTTATGTTGAGGTTCTAGTACAGTATTACGCTGCGTAATAACAAAAAATTATTATCAACTTTCAATGCATAATATAAAATATAAAAAAATTATTTTTCTCATGTATTACAATTTTCTCTTATCTAACTTTGAATAAAAATAAACGTAATCTCTTGATTTCAAAGTTCATTCACTTTTCAATAAATTGACAATTTCTAATAATATATATATAATAAAAATAATTGTAAATATTTCTAACTGCACTTAAATTTCGTGTGCTAATTCCGATATATCATTTTTATATTAATAAAACAAAAGTAATACTGTAAAATTATAGTAATAACATCAGTTGTGAAAAAAAATTTGAGTTTGCGTAAATAATTAAATTTTGTATATAACTACAAAAAAATGATTATAAAAGTGAATTTAATATTCTATCCCCTCGAGTGTACAACAGTAGTTATCCCCAGATAGTCCTTTAGAAAAAAAAATGAAGGAGGTACTTTTTGACACAAATTCAAAGTATTTACTATTTTTTAAATAAACAGAATGTCAGTAAGGAAGAATAAATAAAAATGTTTGATTTACCGACTGTTGACAATGTAGGAATTTACCTTATCATCAGTTGGTAAAGAAGAATGTACAAAAATTAACGAATTGTCTACTTCTGGTAATGGAGAAATTTATCTTACGATTAGTTAATGATGAAGAAAACAAAAAAGAGTATATTAGTGATAATATAGGGATCTGTTTTACCACCAGTTAATAAAGAAAAATACAAAATGAATTACCTACTGTTGATAATGTAAGAATTTATCTTGTCATCAGGCGACAAAGAAGAAAAATAAAAATTACGATTTATCGACTGCTAGTAATATAGAAATCTATCTTACCATCAATTTGTAACAAAAACTGCAAGTATCGATATGTCAAACGCAAATTTATTAGTGTTTTTGTTACATACTGTGAAGTAAGAAATAAATGATCGGTAATCCTCAAATTTACTTCTCGCGATTCCTATGCCAAATTAGGAATAAATGCGTTCACCTTCGGTACCTCGATCGAGAATATAATCGGTATCTAATTTTTTTAAATAAATAATAATAAAAGAAAACTCTACAGCAAACTTTACCAAATGTTGGGCGCCAGACTCACCGATGAGTCAACGTCAGCAAAACCAACAATATTAAAATCGTACATAACTCAAAAGCTTCAAAAGAAATTTATCAAAAAAAAATTAGATAATAATGTTTAACATCTCGATCTCAATAAACCGGTACCCAAATTATTATTATTATTACTAGCTCGCGGTTGTTAATTAAAACAAGGGGAAGTGGGTCTGTGTTGAGAGCTTTTCATGAGGTACAAAAGAAATAATTCATGATTCCAATAATGCAATTTAACAACTTTATATTATCAATGGCGTCTCTCAGTGTAGTTGTAAATTTTACAAAAAAAAATGTGAATATTTAATTATCGACAGAATTTAATAATTTTTGTTTAACAATTTTACCTCAATAATTATTTTTACTCACTAATTTTCTCTCGATATCGCGATACAAGAAAATTGAAAAGTCTAGCTTATCTTAACGATAACTCGAAAATAACGTGACCTCTAAGAATATTTCGCGACATAACGTTATATTATGAAATACGAATTTAACAAATTATACAAAATCAAAAAAAAATCTTGCTCAAGCATGATTAATAATAAAAAAAAATTATGATTATAATCATAAGGAAATCATCTTTGTCGAAGTGTCGCATAAACGATATTAAAATAATTCTAATTTTTAAATAACTTGAGAAAAATAACGCGAAATTCGATAATAACGACCATTCGACAATATATAGAATCCATATTCCAATTTCAATAATTTTACTTTATATTCGAGTTATAATATAATGAATAAGTGGAATATGCATTCTAAAAAAAAAATTAATTATAGATAGAGAACTACATGTCGACTTACAGAAAAGCTACAAATAAATCCAAATATTTGATTTCCTCGTCTCAGGTTCCTCTATTTTTTTTTCGCTACGGTATCGGCAGATCTCTCGGCTTGGCTCTATATCTCGACGTGACAATCGTGTAGACGGTATTCTTCGACGATACAAAATTTGGAACCAGTCTCTATCGCTATCGCCAAGCTAATGTGCCTCGTGTTCGAGAGTGCCGGCGGCGTCGGGCCTTTTCTAACCTAATCTGATAATCCGGCGCGCGAACACTCATTCTTCTTCTACGCAACGGCGCGAAACACATTCAAATTCAAAATTAAACGAAATATTAAATCATACCTTCACAGCTGATATTTTACAATAATATTTCTTGTATGATTACGAGTTATAGATCACTATTTTAATAGTGTAAAATACGTAAACAATTAATGCTATAATAAAAATAACAATAATAATTAATAATCAATATCGCATGAAATCGATTCTATATCGCAATAGTAGTCTAAATTTTTACTAAATATTAAAAATGAATCAATCGAACCAAAAAAAAAAATATAATAAAGAAAATACTAAAAGAGTTCAAATATTTAAATAACTCAAATAATTTTAATTAACGCTAATAAATTCCGAATAACGTATTAGAATTCAACTCTAATCTGTTAAAAAAAAATTAAGAAAGAAATAGTTATCATAAATATCGCTAAAATGATAAAGAAGAATATAAGAAATAAAATAAACAAAATTTAATTAATTACTACAATACGCAATATCTTCTTGTGTATCCTTGGAGTATTCTTGGTGCATTCTTGGTGCAATCGTTATTGAAATCGCCCTCGCTATGGTATCGTACATCTGTTTTCGTCTGTAAGTAGATTATTAATCTTGGAAAATGTTAAGAAAAATTTATACCTTTTTACCGCTAATGATTCCATAATATTTTCGATGATCGTTACGTCAGTTTTCACGATTTCTCGTACATATCCTGACCAAAATCACGCAGATCCAAATGGTGATAGTCATTGCCTTAATACAAAGTCTGGATCTCAATTAGACTATCATCGGTGAAATGGAAAGAAATTCTCATATAATGCCAATTCGGACGGTACTTCTCGTCATCCAGCATCCGTCCTCGAAATTAGTAGTGTCGCTCCTCATTGACGACAATAATTCAAAATCGACCAATTTCGGTGGATTTCATCGCTCCTCATCGTCGATAGATCCAAAACGAAAATTGGATAAATGAAACAGCCGCACCTCATCGTCGACTGATCAAAGGTTAAAACAAAAACAAAGCAAAAGAAAAACAAAATTGAACTGGTCGCTCCTCATTGTCGGCCAAGTTCCGATATATGGTCCAATAGCGTATGTTGTGGTTAACTTCTCAATTCCAGATGGTTCTAAGACGATAAAAGATTTTTCTACAACAGTATTTCGGTAACCATTCCTAGCGAAGTTATTTCCAATGAAACTGCACCAGAATGATGAAGTCGGATTAGTTCTCATCTATATGGGTTTGAGAACATCTCCTTGTCCGTGGATCCATCAGTAGTCTCGTAGTCCATTGCAGATCATCGTTATCGCACGCAATGAATACATAAAAAAAAAATAAAAATAAAACGGCAGTATACAAAATTATTTTTCTATCCCTAAAGTTAATGCGGTCGAGATCGAGTTATGGAGTAGAGGAACGTGAATACGTGTTCTCCCAGTTAGACAATTTAATTAATTTTTACTTTTACTTTAAAATTTAATAATTTTAGTGACGGGTAAAAAATGTCACGTCACAACTCCACCTTCCTTCAATTGTAAGGAGGTATTATTCCGACGCAACAACAAAAAAAATTTTATCATGAAATGTTTTCACATAATCAAAGAATTGAAAGGAAATCCAATAAAAATAAATCAAAAATAACTCAACAATAAGTCGACAGTTCATTCTCAATCTTCAATATTTGTCTGAACGCTCATTTCCATTATCGATCTTCGACACGCAAGAAAATTAATAACTTCACCATAAATGAAAATGATAATAGCAACAAAATAAACAAAATCATAATTTAGCAAAAAAAAATTAATATTCAATCATCAACCAAAATAATGATAGGGTTAAAAAAAAAATTAATGATAATAAATATTTTTTTTTTTGTCTGCGAGAAATCGACAAAACTTGATTATTACAAACCTTTATTAACAAATATATACATTAATACAATATTCTCAATCGTTGCATCAATGATAATAAAAGAGGAAATAATTATTAGTCTGCAGCCTTCTTTGGCGCTGTTGTCAAATTCTGAGATCATTATAACAGTCGTCAATCGACTTTCTTCTTTTATACTGGAAATATATATTGAATCAAACAAGATAGATTAGTTACTTAATACGATATCAGGGAACGATCATATTTCTATAAACGAAAACAGTATCTTTAAACTAAAATAAACGAAAATTATAAATGTTATTACTCACGACGTAATTAATCTGATCGATAATAGTGATTCGTAAATAACGTGATAATTAAACGATATTTGTAGAAACGAAAAGAAATTGTATGTAATAGTAACAACACGAAATAAGAAAAATTTAAATACGATATCCAAAAAAAATTGTTATTGCATTAACGAGACGAAATT